TACTACTACTACTACTACTACTACTACTACTACTACTACTACTAGTACTACTAAAAACAAGAATAATCAACAAATGAACTGTTACTAACTAATCTTATTGTTATCTTGTTCTTATCATACAAGTTGCCTCATGGCCGACGCCATGTTGGCTCTCACCTCCTCAAGAACCATGGTACGATCGGCCAACTCATCGTTGGATCCATCAAAGAGCCTCTGTTTTCTCATTATGGACTACTTAACCAATTAATTCTCTTTGTACTCATACCCACAATACTCATTAATCAATGCGACCGAAAAACCCATACCAGGTCTGATCGGACTCATGGCGCCATATTTTCAGCTCAACCTCCGCCCATGCCATGCTGCACAGGGGCCGCCAGCTTTCCGCGATGTGCTTATTCATATGGCTCATGGTGAGATCATGCTCCTGAGAAACTTCTCATGACTGAGAAACATCACTAGTTTATTGTAACTAATATCTCAAAAACAGAAAATGCTGACTTATCATTGCATTGCAGTCTCTATGTTCATCCAACGCACCATTTGCGCATCTCTCTCATGGGCCTCACAGCGCCAAGCCGTCCATGAAACCAAACCCCAGCTTCTCAATTGGAGAAGCCGGCCAGAGACATGCCTCAAGCGATCCCTCAATGAGCCACCCATCTCATCGAGTCTCCGCTCCACGTGCACTAGCATCGTGTGGACGGCACTCATCGTCGTCTCATCGACTCCGCTCATTTCCATGGCTCACGGATCTCAAGGCTCAAAGAACTCAGGGCTCAGGGCTCTCAATGCTCATGCGGCTGCAGCAGGCCAAAGTCAACCCAAACATTCAGAGCTCATGCGACTTGCCACAAGAGCGAATCTGCAGGCTCATGGCACAATCTGAAATCCTAATCTATTTCCGAGGTACTCATGGTAGTAGAACAGCTTCCAGTCCATGTCCACCCAGCTGAGGTCGCCCATGTGCCTCGTGGCTCAACAACTGCTAAAAGCAACAAGTCTCAAGGCTCATGGTGTACAGCAATCCCGAAATCAGATCTAATGCCATCCCAGCTACTCATGCTTCTCCTCATCGGACCCATGCCAGCCCAGCATCTGGCTAAGGTCCACCCTGCTGATGTAGCCCGTGTGCCTCATGGCCAAGCAAATGCTAACTTGAAGCAACAACTCTCTCGAAACTCATGGCGTGCAACAATGCCCAAATCTAATGCATTCCCACGGTACTCATGCTTCTCAATGCTTCTCCTCATCGGACCCATGCCAGTCCAGCTTCGGCCTCGTGTCCACCCAGCTGAGGTCGCCCATGTGCCTCGTGGCTCAAGAACTGCTAAAAGCAACAAGTCTCAAGGCTCATGGTGTACAGCAATCCCGAAATCAGATCTAATGCCGTCCCAGCTACTCATGCTTCTCCTCATCGGACCCATACCAGTCCGGCTTCGAGCTCATGTCCACCCTGCTGATGTAGCCCGTGTGCCTCATGGCCAAGCAAATGCTAATTTGAAGCAACAACTCTCTCGAAACTCATGGCGTGCAACAATGCCCAAATCTAGTGCATTCCCCCGGTACTCATGCTTCTCAATGCTTCTCCTCATCGGACCCATGCCAGTCCAGCTTCGGCCTCGACTCCACCCAGCTGAGGTCGCCCATGTGCCTCGTGGCTCAAGAACTGCTAAAAGCAACAAGTCTCAAGGCTCATAGCGTACAACAAACCTCAAATCTAATGCATTCCCCCGGTTCTCATGCTTCTCGATGCTTCTCCTCATCGGACCCATGTCAGCCCAGCTTCTGGCTCATGTCCACCCAGGTCAGGTCGCCCATGTGCCTCATGGCTAAACAAATGCTATTTTGAAGCAACAACTCTCTCGAAACTCATGGCGTACAACAAACCCCAAATCTAAAGCATTCCCCCGGTACTCATGCTTCTCAATGCTTCTCCTCATCGGACCCATGCCAGCCCAGCATCTGGCTCATGTCCACCCGGGTTAGGTCGCCCATCTGCCTCGTGGCTCAAGAACTGCTAAAACCGACAAGTCTCAAGGCTCATAGCGTACAACAAAACCCAAATCTAATGCATTCCCCCGGTACTCATGCTTCTCGATGCTTCTCCTCATCGGACCCATGTCAGCCCAGCTTCTGGCTCATGTCCACCCAGGTTAGGTCACTCATTTGCCTCGTGGCTCAAAAACTGCTAAAAACAACAAGGCTCAAGGCTCATGGCGTACAACAAACTCCAAATCTAATCTAATGCATTCCCCCGGTACTCGTGCTTCTACTCATCGGACCCATGCCAGTCCAGCTTCTGGCTCATGTCCACCCAGGTGAGGCCGAAACAGCTTCCATCTCATTCTGCTCAGAACACATGGCTGGAACTCATCCGTGGCATGCACACGGCTCAAGGTCTCGCGGCTGCGGTGTGGTCCCTCATAACACGAAACATGATTACACTGCTCACACTACTAACAAATTAATTAGTTGCTTAAAGCTTACCCTCTCCCAAAATATAGCTTACTGTACTACCTGTACTACAACTGTACTACTACTGTACTACTACTGTACTACAACTGTACTACTACTGTACTACTACTGTACTACTACTGTACTACAACTGTACTACTACTGTACTACTACTGTACTACTACTGTACTACTACTGTACTACTACTGTACTACTACTGTACTACTACTGTACTAGTAACTAGTAGTATACTAATTAATAAATCAATATGTATTAGCTTTCCCTCGAACAGGTTTCCCCCAATTCCCCAAACAAGGTCTTGTATTGCTTTAAACGTTCAACCCCCCAATAGCGCGGAGTTTGGCTACACACCCCCAATTAAACAGGCTCACCCGATCTCGCCCGGAAGTACCTGACCTTGAATAAACCCCCATGCCCACCCCCCCCCATTAGAAGGGTCTACTGGTACTGTACTACTACTGTACTACTACTGTACTACTACTGTACTACTACTGCACTACTACTGTACTACTACTGTACTACTACTGTACTACTACTGTACTACTACTGTACTACTACTGTACTACTACTGTACTACTACTGTACTACTACTGTACTACTACTGTACTACTACTGAACTACTACTGTACTACTACTGTACTACAACTGTATTACAACTGTACTACTACTGTACTACTACTGTACTACTACTGTACTAATACTGTACTACTACTGTACTAGTAACTAGTAGTATACTAATTAATAAATCAATATGTATTAGCTTTCCCTCGAACAGGTTTCCCCCAATTCCCCGAACAAGGTCTTGTATTGCTTTAAACGTTCAACCCCCCAATAGCGCGGAGTTTGGCTACACACCCCCAATTAGACAGGCTCACCCGATCTCGCCCGGAAAAACCTGACCTTGAATAAACCCCCATGCCCACCCCCCCAATTAGACAGGCTCACCCGATCTCGCCCGGAAAAACCTGACCTTGAATAAACCCCCATGCCCACCCCCCCATTAGAAGGGTCCACTGGTACTGTACTACTACTGCTGCACTACTACTGTACTACTACTGTACTACTACTGTACTACTACTGTACTACTACTGTACTACTACTGTACTACTACTGTACTACTACTGTACTACTACTGTACTACTACTGTACTACTACTGTACTACTACTGTACTACAACTGTACTACAACTGTACTACTACTGTACTACTACTGTACTACAACTGTACTACAACTGCACTACTACTGAACTACTACTGTACTACTACTGTACTACTACTGTACTACTACTGTACTACTACTGTACTACTACTGCACTACTACTGTACTACTACTGTACTACTACTGTACTACAACTGTACTACTACTGTACTACTACTGTACTACTACTGTACTACTACTGTACTACTACTGTACTACTACTGTACTAGTAACTAGTAGTATACTAATTAATAAATCAATATGTATTAGCTTTCCCTCGAACAGGTTTCCCCCAATTCCCCAAACAAGGTCTTGTATTGCTTTAAACGTTCAACCCCCCAATAGCGCGGAGTTTGGCTACACACCCCCAATTAGACAGGCTCACCCGATCTCGCCCGGAAAAACCTGACCTTGAATAAACCCCCATGCCCACCCCCCCAATTAGACAGGCTCACCCGATCTCGCCCGGAAAAACCTGACCTTGAATAAACCCCCATGCCCACCCCCCCCATTAGAAGGGTCCACTGGTACTGTACTACTACTGCTGCACTACTACTATACTACTACTGTACTACTACTGTACTACTACTGTACTACTACTGTACTACTACTGTACTACTACTGTACTACTACTGTACTACTACTGTACTACTACTGTACTACTACTGTACTACTACTGTACTACAACTGTACTACAACTGTACTACTACTGTACTACTACTGTACTACTACTGTACTACTACTGTACTACTACTGTACTACAACTGTACTACTACTGTACTACTACTGTACTACTACTGTACTACTACTTTACTACTACTGTACTACTACTGTACTACTACTGTACTACTACTGTACTACTACTGTACTACTACTGTACTACTACACTACTATACTGGTCCCCAAACAAGCTTCTCCGGGACCTTGAACAAGGTTTCCCCCAAACCCCCCCAACAAGGTTCTTCCACTTAATCGTTTCGGGGGTTTTGGGGGCGAGGTGTCCGACCTTGTGACCTTGATAGCGGGGGGGGGGGGGCTCCCCCCCTTTCTTAATCAGGTTCCCACATTAGGTCACCAGGGATCTCGGATCTGGCTACGAAGGGGAACCTTCAGTTTGGAGCCAATCCCATTTGCAGCGCCCTATGAGGGCCTTTAAGAGTGGCGGGTGGTGTATTGCTTTGAAGGCTTTCTTCGATACAACCCGCGACACTGGGGTGTCGGACATATTTATTGGATTGGAGGACACGGGTTGCCACTTCGAACTTCGGATCTGTTTGGGATGGGGGATTCTTGTTCGGGCCCGGCATCCAGATACCACAGCTCAGGCGCTGTTGTGCCTCAACCACGCGGCGACTGGGCTGCGGGGGGGCGAGATCTGAACTTCTGATACCCTAGGCCGTAGGCTTCACAAATTGGTGCTTTAAGGGTTTGGGCTTCAGGATATAGGGTTCCTGTTAAGGGATCTATAGGGTTCCTTTTAAGGGATCTATAGGGTTCCATTTAAGGATCTATAGGGTTCCCCTTTTAAGGGATCTATAGGGTTCCTTTTGAGGGATCTATAGGGTACTATAAGGGTAGGGTTTTGAGGTGGCGGGCAGATGGCCCAAGAACACGTGCGCATCCCGACCCCGAAGCTGCACGGGTTTAGGGTTTAGAGTTTAGTACACGTAGGTACTGTTGATGGACAAAATCCTGCATTACCCCAAGGACCCTAAACTATGGGAATTATGGTATATTCCTTCGTATGGGCTATGCAGGATTCGGTCCATCAGCCGTATGACGGTGTTCTGGGGCTTTAGCTGCTTCAGTGGAGTCCGACAGGAGCACTGGCATGTATCTCCGATTTTCAGAATTCTGGGCCCTTTTAGTAGCAGGCCTTATACTATCCTGAGACCCCGACATAGACAGGCAACCCTTACCCCAAGTATGTGGGTCGGAATAAGTAGTATGTGTATCCCTCATTGTCACCACATGGGTAGTTCCCTGAGTTGGGGTTTCTTTCTTAGCCCCCTAAATACTACGGCACGCTTCGAATAACGACCCCAAAAGGGACCCTAATCCAGAGACCTACCCACAAAAATGCAGGACGATATACCCCAGGACCCTCCTCGAAGCAGTTCCAGACGAGCCCCGAAGCCCAAGATCGTGTAGCCCTTGGACATCCGGGAACCAAGTGCAAGGATGTTGTATGAAGGCACCCTAGTAACGTAAGGCTTAACTTAATCGAAGCGTAGGTAACCTTGAACCTGTGCCGGGTGATTGCATACGCATGTGCACTGCGCAGTAGTCCCTCTAAGACTCTGGACGCTCAGCTAAAGCATGGCTCAGGCGAAGGTCCAGCCGACAGTGGAGCTGATGGCCTCTTGCCTTATCTGGGTTCCCGCGCATTCTAGCAGGCTGAGGGTGTCGTGTAGGTATTGTAACAGAAGTTCTTCAGAATCTAGAACCCCCCGTTTTATTGGGACTTGTGGGAAATCCGTTGACTCGCACGTCTGACGACCCTCCGTAAAGAATGAAAGTAGATGCCAGATGCTTGCTCATATAGGTGGTTGTCAAAGTTATGGTCCACTTTTGGGTACCCTGAATAATAGGTGCCGTATTATAGTAGGGACCCAAAAAGGGGCCATAATTTTGACAACCACCCATATAGCACGGCTTTTACAAAGCGGTGGTCTGAATCTTACCCTTACCCTGAGCTTGAGAGTTGAGTGCTTCGGGCCCGGAGGAGCTAAAGATTAGGGTTGAGGGTTAGGTATCAGGCGAACCGTGTGCAAGGCGAGCCCCACACCGCAAGCCCCAAATCCCAAACCTACACCGCTCAAGTCCATCGTAGTAGTGGTGGCCGTAGTAGAAGAAGTAGTGTAGTAGTAATAGTAGTGGTAGTAGTAGTCGTCGTCGTCGCCGCCGTCGTCGTCGTAGTCGTAGTGGTAGTTGTAGTGGTTGTGGTTGTGGTAGTGGTTGTGGTAGTGGTAGTGGTAGTGGTAGTGGTAGCAGCAGTGGCAGCTTCAAGCAGTATCTCAAAGCAGACACGAGTCGAACTCAGGTTCGAATAGTTAGCAAGAGTGTTCCTGCTTGGTCACTATAAGAATAAGGTCTATGGTTTTGGGGTTTGGGTTTTAGGTCACTATGACAGAAGACTCGAATATCCCCAAGACCCAATCACGATTTGAAAAAGCCTCTGCATCAGAGTTGGTTGTCGTCAGTCTGTTACTGTAAACCTGTAAGTGTTGCCGCCCAGGGACTACCGTATGGATTAGGGGTATCGGTTTGGAGCTTAGTTTTTCGTTGCCGATAACAAGGCACCGATACGGCAGCCTCAGCCTAGCTACCGTGCAGGAGGTTCAAGGCATCAGGGTTCAGAACCCTAAACTCTAATCCCTAAACCCTCAACCCTAAAACCCTAGACCCCAAACCTCTAATCCCTAAACCCTGGCCTTTGAGGAACCCATGAGTCTTTAAGTGAATCTTCCCCAAGAGAATCCCAGACGGCTGCACCTGTTGGCCTCGCCGACCGCTGGGCTCTGCGGTGGCAGCGCGCCCCGCCTGAGGCCCTTCTGAGGGAGTGCGAGTATTCCAGTTGTGTGTTGGGTGTGGGCTGTAGGGTTTAGTTATAATTGCAGCAGCAATAGCGGCAGCAGAGCAGCAGCAGAAGCATCCACTAGCATCACGAGCACAACAATAGTAATCTCTACAGTCACAGCCAGCAGCAACTGCAACGACAGCTGAACCCACCTTCGGTTCAGGTTCCGACTACATTTGTCAAGAGTTCAAGTTCTCAGTCTTCTTCCCTAGCTTGGCTTAACTTCGATCCTGATTCACTGAACTAAACCCGAATCCCTGCTTGTCTGTTCGTGCACCATGTCCTTTCTGAACAACCAGGTTTTCCAGAACAGCTGCAAATGTTGTAGAAGACCTTGCAGAACCTGTATCCTGTCTCGAGCTGTGTCAAGAAGCTGGTGGCCGTATCAGCAGGCACCAAAGAAGGGGCAGAAGCAGCGCAAAAGCAGGCCCCTGCCTCGTTTTCGACTGTGGCAGGGTGGAAGGGCATGTTCTTGGCTACAGGAGCTTCTGCCGAAACTCTTCGGGGTGACTGCAAGATTTGGGCTTGGAGGTTAAGGTAATGTCGGGAACTAGCTTACTGTTTATTGGAGGATTCCGGATCTGGGTTTGGGAGCTTGAGGATAATCGGATCCTCACAGGCCCTCTCACCGCAAGGACGAGGGTCCAGTGATTCAAGCCCATGGGCTATGAACAGTGGAATTATCATTCTTGCAGGGGCGGGCTTAGAAATGAGTAGCCCTAAACCCTAAACGAGACTTTCCCTGATGATTCGAATACTTTCTCGAGATCCCCAGTCGAATCATTCGGGTTCCTTGATCTCGAAGATCAACTTCTGCGAGAGGCAAAGGTAAGTAGGACCCCAGGGGCCACAAAGAGGTCGGAAGACTTCGGGTGTATCCCCTGAGAGTTCACAAATACAAGTATAATTACTGACCCCAAACCCTAAACCCTATTCAATATTACTATGCTAGAGTATCCATAGCACCCTTACTGCTTATCCCGATCCCAGTCCCCATCCCTCAGGCGCCTTAAAGCCCTTGAGCTCCAACCCCCCCTCAAAAAATGCACGAAACAGCCAAAGTGCCAAGAAGAAAGCCCCAGCATCGAACACCCGAGTCCTTCTGAGACCGCCACACTGCCTGAAACAAGAAGCAATAAAACGGTACAGCCTTTAACCATAGCTTCTGAAACACCATAGCCGCAGGAACAACAGATAAGAACACTCGTCATCATCGTGACAACAGCAAGTAGAACAACGACAGGAAGGAGCAGAAGAGAACTGCGAACACCAAGAACCAGCCCCTGAGGTCCCGCTCTGCTCCCAAGCGGAAGCGGCGGAAAGCCAGGCTCCGGATTTGCGATTTAGGCTTCTCTTAGGGGTACTTAGAATTTTTTTTAAGTTTTGGTTATTGTAATACCGAAGAAACAGCTAAAATTGCAATGTTTGCTAGGGTTCTAAGTTCAGTATAGCTCTGGTTTAGGGGCCCCAGAGCAGGTCTTTTATCAGTTTTCTCTAAGGGTTCTAGGTTCCCTGATGTCGGGTTTCATGGGACCCTTGCAGGAGGTTTTACGTTGTTGGCGGATTTCGGCTTCGGGTGTCGGGGTATGTTGGGTTTCGTCATAGGGTGTATCTGGTGGGTGTCAGGTCCCTTTGCGCGGAGAGCCCCCTGAATAATGGGGGAAGTGGAATAAATAGGTGGTCACCGCAAGCAAGCCGATACGGTTTTAAATAAACTTAAGTGGTATGTTCGTCGACGAGAGTAATTATGTGGTTTCTTGTGAAAATCGACTTGAGGATTCATGGCCTACTGCTAGGGTATCGAGCTTTGGGCTTGGAGGGTATGGAGTTTTTGGGTGCAGAGCTTTCAGCCCAGGTGTGGTGCAGGCACTGGGACGGCCCTTGCTAGCAAGTTTTTGCTAAGGCATGAACACCTCAAAGCCGGAAGCCGTGGGTCCATCATCTGCGCAGGTTTACTCCTTGACGCAGGAGGGGTCGCAACACCTCAAGATCCAAGGGTAAAAGGAGGGACCCTTAAGAAGGACCCCTAAGTATATACCCATAATATAGCTATTATATACCCATTATATAGCCCATTATAGGGTAGGGGTCCTTATTAAGCGTCCCTCCTTTTTTTGTTTGACAAGAGCAAGCCTCAAGCTCGAGACTGGGCAGCTCTTGTTCTTGGCACAGGCCCAGACAAGAAGAAGAGGAGCCGCTGATGCATGAAATGGAGCCGCTAGTAGTAGAGTAGGTAACCCCAAACTCTAAACCCCTAAACCCTAACCCTGAACGCTAAACCCTAAAACCTAAACACCTATATACTCCCCCCTTTAGTTCTCCAGGGTACTGGACAAGTAGGGATCCTCGTCGCTCCGTGAGGTCACCTTCGAGCAGCGAGGCCTTGGGAGTAGTAGGGTTCCAAAAAGGACCCAAACATAAACTTTTGGTTGGGATATCCCTACCTCATTGCTTTGTCTAAAAAAGGGGCTTTTGGGATATCATCCCAACCTTCGTTGTTGTTTAGGTGTTGGGTCCCTAACTAGGTGATGAGTCTAAGCTGTCCTGTAAATGTCTTTTTGAGGCCTTCTTGAGGATTTCATGCGTTTTTTTGCGTTTGGGGTTGAGGGTTTGGTTTCTCGAAGGGTTCCATAAAGATCCTCTGAGGGTCGGGGCTTCGGGGCTTTGGCTTTGTGGTGGTTTTGAGGCTTGTGGAGTTTGGGCGTTTGCTGGTGTTTTTTTTCGAAGTTCTGCATTGGTTGCTCCTTTTCGGCTTTGAAATCTTTGGGTTTTGGCTAGTAAAGTTTCGGGCTCAGGGCCTAAAGCTTAACATGAAACCATGCCAGCTTGACTTTGGGTTTGGCGCTGCAAAAGCTTTAGGATTTACAGTACACAGTAAAACCTTGAACGCCCCATACAACCCCAAAACCTTGAAAGAAATTCTAAGCCTGAATTGCATACAATCCCGAGGGCACTCAAAAAAACAGCACCACCCTAAACCCCACACTGTATCAGCTACAGCCCGATACAGCCATGTCCCCTGGACCCCGAGCCTTTGGCACCCAGGTGCTTCGGGGTTCGGTGTTTAATACAGGGCTCTTAATAATTAGAATAGGGTTTTGGGGGCCATTGTATTCTAACCATAATAAGGAACCCCCAAATCCCTGTTCTAATTATAAAGGTCCCTATATCCTACTACCCTTATAGATACCTTATAGTAGCCCTTATAGACCCCTTTCAAAGGAGCCCTTTAAAGGAACCCTTTGAAGATTATTAAGGCCCCTACATTAGGCTCCGGCATCCTGCAGGCCAAAGGCAAAGCCGAAGCGGAAGAGTCCGATTCCTCGGAGCAGCGTCGCCTGGCCCAAATCCAGCTGCGTTTGGATCTTCAAGGCTGTACCCATAGGCCCCAAAGTAGCTCCTTTTTGGGATTACCTTTTAGGATTCTAAGGAACTACTATGGGGCCTATGGGTAGGGGTTCAGGGTTAAAGGTGTGCTTTCTCGGTGTGCAGGTGGACAGCTCAGGGTCCAAGTCTCAGTATGGTGAGTGCTTGAGGAGCGGCATGCAGCAATGGAGCACATCAATACCCATAGGCCCCGTAGTAGTTCCTTTCTGGCGGTTCATATGTAGAACCCTACAAGGTAAAACCCTAAACCCCAAAACCCAAAACCCTAAACCCTAAAACAAGAAGTATACTATGGGGCCTATGGGTAGCTTTCAGCATGGTGCCGCGAGCCCCATCTGCCAGACAGCATCAGCATTCTTTGTTATCCTTGTCGCTGTTATGAACGTTTAAGGTTTGGGGCTTAGGGTTTAGGTTTGGGGTTTTGGGTTTAGGGTTTGGCGTTTGGGGTTTAGGTTTAGGGTTTAGGGTTGGATCCCAAGCCTCTGCTGGAATCGATCTTGGATTTTCGTTCCGATTTCTCAACCAGCTAAGGACAGAAAATCAAGCGCAAGAAGCGCGGGAGACTGAGTCTAACGGGCAGGGATCGAAACGAGCACCTCCCAATGCTCCAAAGAAGCGAGCAGGAAGGGATGAGGTTGACAACTAGTGCTAGAGTCTATGTGTTAAATGGTGCTTTTCATACGTGTGCCAGCAGTGTAACAGGTACTAGACTACACTATAGTACTCCCAGCAGCGTGATAAGCATCAGACTTGCCCAAACGAGCATAAGTCATATCCATAAACCCCAAACCATATGAACCCTAAGCCGTAAGCCCCTGAATGATAAGCCGCAAACCCTCAACCCTCAACCCTACAGCTTAGAGGTTTACAGGCTCAGGACACTAACCGGTCACTTCCAGCATTTGGGAGGGCTGAGGTGTGGGATTTAGGGTTCAGCATTTAGGGTGTAGGATTTAGGAATTTAGGGTTCAGGGTGTAGTGTAGGATTTGCATTCTAGAGATTAGCCCATTATAGACTTCAAGACGCGAGCATAGACCGTAAACAGAATCCTTTCTGTAAAGACCCCGGAGCCCCCCCTATTTCGCTAACATACCATCTATCTGCGGTGGCCTCTGCAGGAAACCCTTGTGCCGAGTCTTACTGTCGGTGGCAACCCCGAGGAATACATATGGCCTGAAGACTATCCAGTCAGCAAAGTTAAATAAGAACCAAATGCACTATTCTCCATATTTGGCGACAAGCGAGGCTGTGTGGAGCTTGCGAATGGGGAGATAGTGGAAGATCACCGCGAAGATCGTTTGCTTCAGGCTTGTGCGCATTCAGGGTTCTGATCAGGAGGTGAATGCTCAGTAAGACTATCCGCGGATAGTCCCTGTTATACTTATACTATGGTTTATTGCATAGCTTTGTTGAAATGAGTAAGGACCCCTTTCTGTTCTGTTTTCATTTGTAGGTAGGCATTGGCAGGGGTTCCTCCGAACGCAGAATTCAGCAGCAGCACCGCCACTGGAAGCGGAAGGAGGGGTGAGCGGGAAGGACCATGATGCTGATGTTAAGGATGGTGAGGAGATGGTAATGGTGATTGTGATGGTCATGATGATTTGGATGACAGGCGTGTTAGGATCATTTCTTCCTTGAGGTTGTTCCTTACACATTCATAAACAACCATTGTTGACTTATTGATTGGCTTAGTCATTTAGCCTCGTGGTTCAGTGGTAATAACATCTATGTAGTATATAGTCACAACACTCTGTTTTCAGGTTGCGGGCTTCGGGCTTGCAGGGTTCAGGGTTTGGCGTTTCTGGTTCTAGGGCCTGGGTTCAGGGATTTGGAGTTGCATTGCCTTCGTTACCCCGTCACGCTGAACATTCAATCCCCGACCATGACTGTCAGCACTCTAAACCCCAAGCCCCTAAACCCTAACCCCCATAAACTCTAAACCCTAAACTTTACTCTAGACCCTTAAACTCTAAACCCTACCAATTTGGGGGGGTCGGATAGATGACCCTGCACAGGCCAAAAAGCAAGTCGGCGAGGCCTACGCCCAGCTCGTGCCGTGGTTGTCAGGTTTAACCCATAGGCCTGATAGTCGTTCCTTTTTGGGATTACCTTATAGGGTTCTACATATGAACCCCAACAAGGAACTACTATGGGGCCTATGGGTAACTTGAGTTGAAGCAGCGTTTGGTAGGGTTGAGGCTTCAGGGCGCGGTCTCGTCATGTCAGTTTGATTATCTTTCTTACAGTACTTTTGATGCCTTACTGATCTACCACAGGTTGGAACAGCTTTCTGCACTTGGAGAGCCTATGGAGATGAGATGCCACAGTTCTCGTGTTACCATAGCCTGATAGATGTCCAGATGTTTCAAGTTGCATTGAAAGGGAACAAAGATGGGAGAAGGCGAGCAAGCTTGTGACAGCCCTAAGCACGAGGAGAGGTTGCGACTTTAAGCGCCCTGCGTTCTAAAGCCCACCAACCTTAGATCCCAAGTACCATAGCCCCCCTGTAGGCCCAAAAAAAACATTGCGTATTATCCGATTCTAATCGTTAAAACCCTTGTAGTTGTCCCTCGACCCTAAACCCAAAACGCTAAACTCGAAACTCTAGGCCCAAAGGCCTAAACACTCACACCGAAACCCCCGAAAACCCCGAAACCCCCTAAGCCCCATAAACCCCCTAAGCCCCCCAAGCCCCCCAAAGCCCCCCAAACCCCCTAAACCCCCTCAGCCCCCTAAACCCGAAATTTCGACCCAGAAGCATCCGTGCCTTTCCAGCAGGAGGAGGAGATGAACGAGTCTCAGAGGCCTCAAAGCGGTTTAGGCTTTGGAGTTTAGGGTTTTAGGGCGTTTTAGGGCTTCTTAGGGGTTTTAGGGTGTTAGGGTTTTTAGGGTTTTAGTGTTTGGAGTTTAAGGTTTTGGAGTTTAGGGCTCAGGGTTTTGGAGTTTAGGGTTTAGGGTTTCGGGTTTGGGCTTTGGAGTTTAGGGTTTTGGGTTTTAGGGCTCAGGGTTTTGGGGTTTAGGGTTTAGTAGGGTTGAGGCTAGTTCAGGGTTTGGGGTTTTGGTGTTCCGTGTTTAGGGCACCTTGCACCTTCGACGTGGGATGCAAGATTTCGTGTTACTTCAAGGGTTTTATAAGAGTTCCCTGAAGGGTGCTATGAGGGTGCTTTTCAGGGTTCTACAATGGTTTCTTGAGTTTTCAGTAGGCGGTAAAAGGATTGAGTCAGAGGTTTAAGGGTGGCCTTGCGCGAACAGGACTCGGGATCTAGGGGCATGTAGGCTACCAGGCAAAGATGTGTTGTTTACATGTTCAGGGGTTCAGAAACTTCAAGAATAAGGCTACGGGGCTCAGGACGTAATAAGGGAGTAGAATTCGCAGAGGAAGGGCTCGAGAGCAAACCCTATCCCCTAAACCCTGAAACCTTTGAACTCTTAAACCCTATGCCCGTAAACCCCATACCCTGAAACCCTCAAACCCTATACCCTTAAACCCTAGACCCTTAAACCCTGAACCCTTGAACCCTATACCCTTAAACGCTAAACCGCTGAACCCTCAAACACTAAACCTTGTCCATGCACTGGGTACGGCCCCCACTCAGTAATAGTTGCATAATATTCCTTCTATAGATATATTAGGACCTTAATCGTAGCCCTATTATAGACTCTTACTGTAAGGGGGCCGTACCTAACCCATGCAGGAAAGCTCTCAAAGCGGCGCTGAGCCAGACTTGCACCGTCGGGCCCTTTGGATCGGTCGAGGGTTCACGGTCTGTTGGGTTTAGGTTTCGGAGTTTAAGGGTTAGGTTTAGGGTTTAAGAGGTTAGGGTTTAGGGTTTATTGGGTTTAGGTTTCGGGGTTTAAGGGTTAGGTTTGAAGTTTAAGAGGTTAGGGTTTAGGGTTTATTGGGTTTAGGTTTCGGGGTTTCAGGTTTAGGTTTAGGGTTTGAGAGGTTAGGGTTTAGGGTTTATTGGGTTTAGGTTTCGGGGTTTAAGGTTTAGGTTTAGGGTTTAAGAGGTTAGGGTTTAGGGTTTATTGGGTTTAGGTTTCGGGGTTTAAGGGTTAGGTTTGAAGTTTAAGAGGTTAGGGTTTAGGGTTTATTGGGTTTAGGTTTCGGGGTTTCAGGTTTAGGTTTAGGGTTTGAGAGGTTAGGGTTTAGGGTTTATTGGGTTTAGGTTTCGGGGTTTAAGGTTTAGGTTTAGGGTTTAAGAGGTTAGGGTTTAGGGTTTATTGGGTTTAGGTTTCGGGGTTTAAGGGTTAGGTTTGAAGTTTAAGAGGTTAGGGTTTAGGGTTTATTGGGTTTAGGTTTCAGGGTTTCAGGTTTAGGTTTAGGGTTTGAGTTAGGGTTTAGAGTTTATTGGGTTTAGGTTTCAGGGTTTCAGGTTTAGGTTTAGGGTTTCATAGTTTCGGATTTACAGGTTCAGGTTTAAGGGTTTAGGGCTTAGGGGTTATTGCATCCTCGCAGCTCCTGGAAAAGCATTTCGGGGTGTCATATGGTTTTTATAGCTGTTATGGGGTTCTAGTGCTGTTTTCTTCTCCAGTATCCAACCACAGGTTTTTCTGGTTCTCAAAATTTAGAAGAGTTCTGAAAGCCGCTTTTCTCCTTGGCTCATTAATATCGACATACGGCCTTCCCCGGTCTCGGGTTAGGTATTCTGAGTGATGTTGAATCCAGTTTGGAACCTAAATTCAAAACGCAACGTAGGAGAGGTCGGAATGATATGGCATCCCGTTATAGTCCCCCCATAACTAGAGTCTATAGAATGTGGGAGTTTCCGAAAATAGGGGACCCCAAAATAAGGTACTCCATATTTTCGGAGACTCCCATATACCCCAAAGCCTCATTCCGGTGATTCAGGCTACAGCGCCTGACCGCACTGCATGATGGTCAGAAAATGCGTGTCATGACAAACCAGAGAGCCCAATAATAGCCGAGTCGGTACGGTTGATGATATGAATCCTGCATTACCTTAAGGACCCTAAACTATGTGAATTATGGTATATTCCTTCTTATGGGTACTGCAGGATTTGTATCATCAACAGTATTTCTCAAGATTCTGACAGGGCATCTGGTTGCCACACATGGCGGATCGGTATGTGTACCTTGATTGTGGGATGTAAGTGCGTATAGGCATAGTTACTTGAGGTATAACCCTGTTCACAGAATCACATGGTCCTCCAAGTAAGCCATGGCATAGGATTCCGAACTGAAGCCCATGTCTCCATGTCAAAGAGGGAAGATGCTTGTACCCCGAGAAGTAACTGAACCTACTCCTTCAGCATGGGAAACCCACGTCTCCCTGCAGACGAAAGACAAAGAGACATCATTACAGCTGTTGCCGACGTTCCTTAAAGGGGACTATAATAAGGGTTACTATAGGGACACTACAAGAATGTAGGAACCCGAACACCATCATACTGAGAGCACCTTGCCAACCTGCACGTCAGCTCTTCTTCTGCAGCTTCTCTGAATCCTAAATCTTTGACGCCGCCTCTGAGCAAACAAACTGCTTTCCATGTTTGCACGGAGGTCATACAAGGACCACCGGGCACTGGTAAGACCAGCGCCCCGGCACAAGTGGCGCCTCAAAGGTACCGGGGAACTAAAGGCGTCGGGTGACAGGCGGACCCACGCTATACTTTACGGGTGTAATTTAGGGGGCTTAAGTATTTACCTATACTATTTTTGGGGGTTCCCTACTAGAATCATGGTAGAATATACCTAAAAGGCAGTCTCGAATTTGGTTTCTTGCAGTCACCGTGCTGAGGTCCTCCGCAGCGTAGGATCCTGCTCTTCTTTTAGGGTTTTGGGTTAGGGTTTTGGGTTTAGCTCTGCTTATCTACGTAGGAATTGTCACCAGTGGTCTACATGCATTACATTCATGTATCATGGGTGGGTGGCTTCTGTTTGGGATTTCCCAGGCTATTACGAATTCATAGGAGCTTATGGTGGCTTTTAGGGGCTTTGTGGAAGTCTTAGGTGTGTTGCATTAGGGTGGCTGTCAAAATTATGGCCCCGTTTTGGGTACCCTAAAATAGTAGGTGCCGTATTATAGTAGGGACCCAAAAGGGGACCATAATTTTGACAACCACCCATTAGACCATTAAAGTCTCGGGCTCAAGGTCTGAAATTTGTACACGGCTTTGAATGATGTCGTGATATTCTTATTTGGTGTCCCTCATGCCCCGAGATTATTACTTGGGGATCCCCCATACAGTGACATGACTACCTGAGGATCCCTCATATACTGGTATGATTACTTGGGGATGCCTCATATAGTTACTGACATTCTGACTATTCTGGCAAATTGGTTGTGTCAGAGGGTCAGGACTTTAAAGGGAGCCCTTGGAGAATCAGGGCTTGGGTTTGGTAAGTGGGGTCGGCAGTGGGTCCTCCTCGATGCTCTTCTAGACGCCCCCAGTTAACAAGCATATTGAAGGAGTCTCTTCTGATGTCCGGCCAGGCTCAGTCTTCGTTGAGGGCTGGTGATCTATCTCCCAGCATGCCGGCATCCCACCGTCACGAGACAACGTCCAACTGTCTTGGCCGAGGTGTTTCTGTGCAGATCCTTCACTTCTGGACAAAGGCAGGGTTTCAGGGTGTAGATCCTCATTATGGTAAAAAAAAAAAAAAAGCAACATTCCTTAATAGGAGCCCTGCGAGGGGCCCAGGGGCTTGCTGTAGGGTTTAGGTCCTCAGGTTTTGGGGGCGGAGCATGTTCGATCAAAGACGTCTTCCACAGATCCGTTTGGATTCGCTGGTGAAAGAGTTCCTTGAATATTTCAGCACCGTTTGAAGGAAGTAGTCGGAGAAAGGTCACTCTGGCTGCGATAACCCATGCGAGCCCTGAACCCACCACCCGACCTACTCACAGCTGCCCGCGGGCCTCACTTTGGGATGTTCTGCTTGAGGATCCGGTGGTCTACAGGGAAGCCGTCTTGGACTTAAGCACATTGCTGTGGATTAGGGTTTAAGCCGTGCCACTCCGGAAGTCTCGTCGAGGAATTCGTATGTTACGGAGGTGAGAATGGAAAGCCTAACGGCTTCTGTAATCCTTACTGATTATCACTGGTGATGGCGACGACTTTTTGAAAGCATTGGCAATCCTGGCAACGAGAGCAGGAAGGTGAACATTACTAGTGGCAGTATCAGCCAGCACAACCCACCAGCGCAACTGCCGCTTCTTTGCAAAAGACAGAACTCTCCTGCTGCCTGCTTACGAGACCTTAAGCCCCCTCATGCCCGTGTCCTGACACCTTCCCTGTGAGCACATTTCCCAGATTCTGGGAATGACGCCGGTTCTGGCAACGTCGGATAGCAACGTGGGGGAGCCCAGCAGCTGCTGAGATAGGCAGTGAAGGGGTAGGCGGCAAGCCCTGAGTCCTGAAATCCCTAACAGTGCTCATCGGTTTTAGGAGCATGTGCTCTTCAATGGTCCGGGATCGAACGCGAGACTAGCCTAGTCCAACATGCTTTTTACTTTGCAATGAATCCACCAGGCAGTGGGAATGATGTAGCACTGATATAGCAACATGGTGTTAAAGTGTCTGCCGAGCAGAACGCAATGCTAGATTCCGATGTTAGCTATAATAGGCATGATCATCACAGGAGCGGAAGTAAGAGTAATAGCACAGGTCGTCATCACCATCACAGGTGTACTTACAAGGAGACGGAATCAGCATTCAAAGTGGCCGTCACCGACCGTAGTCATGCTCATCTCAGAACAACACAGCGGTAGTATCACAAATTTTGACTACAAGGATGAGAACTTCGAGAGCCGGCAGGACACTGAAAGCTAAAGCAATGCCCGCCATCCCAGTCAGAAAAAGTCGATAGACCCGACCGCGGGTCAACTCTACATCATGTCAGCTAGAGTCAAGTTTAGGGATGATGGGATCGTATAAGTACGTACATGCTTGGACCTAGGATTCTACATACGGGTCATATGCCGGCCATTGCAGCATTGGGCTCCTCCCGAAGTAGTGACTGCTTTTGGAGTTTGTTCAAGTATTGTGGTCATTTGCTTCAGAGATTCTGCTGGGACCAGTGGCACGTAGGGGAGGGGGTTCCCGAAATGATAGACCCTTTATCTATGTTAAACCTTTTTCAGTAAGGCTTGGGCGGCAGGCCTTGCTCGGGCGGCCCACTTACCTCAGTTCGAGCTTTTCGGCACTCTTTTTTCGGCTCCAGGGTGACAGAGCTTTAAATCCAAAGTTGTAGGCAAATCTGGCTTCTTGGGTTTTGGTCTGGGGCGGGGTCAGTGCGAGTGATGAGGTGGCCGTCGACAACATCTGCGAGGGCCTCCGTAGCAGAGGAGTCAAGGCAGGGGGATCCGAGAGCTCCCATGTTTCAGGATTCAGGGTGTATTGTATGAGAGTTTCGGAGTTAAGTTGTTCGTTTTTCGGTTTGGGGTGTTGAGTTTTAGGGTGTAGGAGTGTAGGGCGTATAATGTCAGGATTCAGAGTTTAGCGTTTTGGGACCCCCTTACGCCCTGACGACAACGGGGCTGACGGAGGCCGCGGCACTGGTCTCCGCACGGTCCAGCCAAGCAGCCGTCGAGACCTACGAAGCCCGGAAGCGGAAACACCTGCACACGGACCAACTCTGCCGCTCCGAGGGACTTCAGTTCCTGCCTCTCGTCGCTGAGGCTTGCAGTGGGGGGTGGGGCCCGACTGCCGTCTCCACGTGGCGAACGCTCGGTGGTCTCATCGCAGCTCGCTCTGGGGACACCCCTGCTGCAGAGACAGATCGCCTCCTGCAAACCTCGCCATCACTCTCCAAAGGGAAAACGCACGTGCGGTCCTCCGCCGCCTGCCTCAGGGTGGGGAGGAGGCCTCCCCCTTTGCCGCACCCTGAAACGCCGAGTGCCCAGCCTGCCTGCCGCAGCGCCTTCCCTTTACTGCCGACCTGCCTGGTGTGCCCTTTCCCGCCTTCCTTACCCTCCGCCGCCCTGGTTTAGGTTCCGGTTCTAGTCCCCTTTTAGGGCTTGGTTGCCGCTTTCGTGCCAAGTATCCGCCATAAGTGCTGATACCGCCTGAGTTGTCCGCTCGGCTAGTTTTGTGACGTTGCTCTTACACCCAGCTCGTCGCTATTGCGTCCGCCATACGAGCCGACGTTCATCGTCCGCCATGCGCCCCGGCGTTGTAGCATATCCACTAACGTTTGTACAGGCGCCTGGATTTGCTAGAGTTGGAGTAGGACTTGGAGTAGCAGAAGTAGCAGTAGGGACGTAGAATTGAGCTGCTATCGCTGTGAGTTTTGTCCGAAGATATACTACAATGTCATATAACGGTCTATTACAGTCTATTCCAGTATACTGTACTGTATCCCAGAATTGCTTGAAGGTTCATGCTACATCAGCTGTAACTCTACTTACGAAGCCCGCTGACCCTTTCAGCAAGGGCCCTCAACTGCCAGCAGCCACTCTACGACATCCACCAGCCCTAACCCCAAAACCATAAGAATAAACCCCAAAAACCGAACCCCGAAAAACCTACAGCCCCAACCGCAGATCATTCTAAGAACACACGCGCCATATCAAAACCTTATAGGTCCCATAGGGTAACCTTTCTTTTTTTGAATGATCAGAAGTATTCGAGTTCAGAGGAAACAGTGGTGCAACAGCAATGATCGTCCCTCTACATTGGTACTATACCATACGTCAAGGCTTTGTTCTGTTGACTAAGGCCAGTCACCGCATGTCGTGTAGGAGCAGCATGACTACTTCAGACCAATATGAGCCTTTTTTCGTTACGAGAGTGTTGTTTGTTTGCAACGTGCTCTTCAGGAATGTTCGTCGGTGTGTGCGTAGTTTGGGGAGACGAAGAATTAGAACACTGCTTCATAAAATGCAGCCCAAACTCCCTAAACGATCAAACAATGCAACCCTGTATTCCAGTCCAAAACATGAATGGGCAGGGACCCGCTCTGCATTTCCATATTTAGTCTCCCTTCACACGTTTGCGCTACGCATTAAACTACCCTAAATCCTAAACAGCTAAACCCTAAACCCCTAAACCCTGAACCCCTAAACCCTAAACCCCTGACCCTAAACCCCGAAACCCTAAACCCCTGAGTGCGCTTAATCTGATGGCCGGTTTGGGAAGGGTTGACGGAGACATGGACCGCAGCTTACATCCTCGACCCTTGACCCGAATCGCATCCTGAAACCTGCATTCTGGGCTGGGATCTGAAGGTTTCGGGCGTTGGGTGTTTTAGGGTTTGGGGGTTTCAGAGTTTTATGTTTCTTTGTTTTGGTATGTGGTGCTTTATGTCTGAGCCAGGCGGTCCGTGTGGGACGGCCTGAGAAAGTGCGAAGCGTGATCGAAGACATGACCTTGGAGGCCATCATCTGTGACTGACAGCACCAATGCCGCACAACACGAACTGGAAGTCTGAAACACATAGTCATGGTGTCCCATCATAGTCACTACAACTTATGCTATCGTGGTTTCCCACAATGCTATTCTAACTAGACCATTACTTGCGTTGATCTCATCCCGAAACCTGAGCTTTTGCCGACATGCCGAGTTCCGTGACCCGAAGTTCCAGCATCAGACCTGTGATGTTTATGATTTGGTTTCTTTTGAAGTTTGGGGTTCAGGGACTTGGCCTAGAGACGCAGCCTCGATAATGAACTTGGGCTTCCATAGCCGTCAATCAAGTGCCGCACAAGCCCGCCCAAACCCTCGAATCCTAAACCCGGGAACCATGAACTTTAAGCCCGAAACTCCTTGAGCCTTAAAGGACCAGCATGTTTAAGGACCGCCTTAAGGATTTCTGTTGCGAAGTGCCGCCAACAGGCTGAGGTGAAGCGCCTGAAGGAGCAGGTGCCTTGCGATTTTTTCCGTGTAGGACATCAGCACTCTTAGGGGGTTTAGGGCATTGTTTCCGAAAAAGGGGGCACCTTATTCTGGGGTCCTTATAATAAGGATCCTACTATGTAGGTTACTATATTAGGTTAGGGCATTGGGGGGGTTAGGGCTTTCGTGGGGCTATAGGGGTTTGCGGTTTAGGATGGTTTAGGGCTATCTTTCCACTGAGTTCTGGCAGTTGTTGAAAACACCCCTAAGCAAAGGCCGGTCGCATGTCTGGGGTCAGGGGTGAAGGTTCCGTGTTCTTTCGATCGGGGCACCAAACCGCACTTGGATGGCCTCAGGAAGGCAGCAAGGGTTCAGACGGTCTGGGCTTAAGCACAAACACGGTTGCTCTCGGGTCCTGGGCCCCCCCAATGGTACCACCCCCCTGCTGCCCTGCTGCTGCACGCCCACCCGCCCTGCCCGCCCCGGCCCGCCCCCGGCCCGCACCTTGCCCGCCTTGACATTGTGCGCGGATCGGGAGTGTCGCACTATGCCCTGCCGTGTGTGGAAAGCGGCAATCCGCGCAGTAGTTTCCAGCGTCTGAAATGAATTGCAATGCTGAATTATGAGGGTTGTACGGCGATGGTGATGGTGGCAGATATTCTTTTGAAGGTATTAATGATGAAGATGACGACGACAAGGATGATGTTGAGCATTGTCTGATTGTCGACTCACGTCCCGGTCTAGAGCAGCACAACATCTTGAGCAGTATCACCGGTGCCACAGCAAGAGGGAAGACCAGGAGTAACACATAAGAACGTCGTGGCAAAAAGAGTACCACCACAAGGGGGTGTGGCAGCCCTGCATCATATATGCTGTCCTGCTGGCATGACCCAAAATGGCGAAGAAGGCCCCCATTAGCCCTTAGCATATTCCATCCGGTGAACCCCCAAGCCCTGGACCCCAGGACTGTCTTCCGTATGAAGCCTTCGCACTATACCCTAGACTGTTTAAAATCCTAATCCCCACATACCAAAACCTCAGTGCCACGGTTGACTTTCAGATCCCTTGCAAGTTACTCCGACTAATTGGGCAGTCTTGGCGCTGATTAGAGGCAATGTAAGTCCCGCATCTACACTCTTGGACCCTTCAAGAAAATCTCAAAATCCTGAACTGTTTGGGGTCGCATGCTTCGCTACGAAAGCTAAAAGCACCGAATTCCCCCCAACTTGCTCTAAACCCTCTGCCCCCAGGAGAGTGCAGACAGATCAGGCAAAGGCGATGCCGATGGGAACTCGGAGGTGACGCACAGGGGGGGATGGTTGCTTCCGAATGGGGGCTTCAGAAAACAGTGGTAAGAAAGAAGCTTGAAAAATTAGCATACCAGTCCTTCAAGGGTTCCTTGCTAGTGCGTATCGTATGAAATACCCAAAAACCATTCTCATTGTGAAGGCCCATAGATGCCCTACTTGGCGCGCGTAAACAAGGTCCTACTATGCAGGGTACTAGACTCGGAGGTTTATTCCCAGAGATTCCAAAACCTTTTAACTTAGGAACAGCTCGTGTCTAGAATCCATAGTTTAAGCTATATTCCCTGATTCGCGGGTGTTGGAATCTCTGGGTACACCTCTAAATGCATCTTGGTACGTAGGACCTTTAGGGTCTATTTGATTTCAAGATGTTAGCAGGCTTTCGAAGTTTTGAACAAAGAGTTCCAAAACAAATCGGATGGTTTGATTTTCAGGACGCACCTGATATCCGTTGAAGGGGGCAGTGAACTTGGATTTCAAGATTTTGCGGAAACCTGGAAAACTTGAGACAATTTGTGAGTTCAGATTATCAAAAACTTAATTTCAGATTTTCCCAGTTTAAACTGCTGAAATTTTCGATCTTACGAAGTCTAGATGCTGACTGCGTGCCGCTTGTTTGCGTTTATTTCGCAACGATCCGTCAGTTGTCGGCAGGGGAAGTCGCTTGGGTTCTGCACCAAGCACTCACCAATCGAGACGGACCGGGTTCGTTCGATGTATAGCATATTCCTCACCGCAACAGAATCTCTCGACCCAGCTGGTTTCGAGATTTTGGCATACACTTGTGACAGATACTGCAGAGTGGAGAAGCGGAAGCTGAAGTTGCATGCATGTTTGCAGTTCACTGCGGCCCCGAGATCCAGCAGACAACCGCGCATGAGCTCCCCATGCCGCTGGACTTTGGTTCAGCTGAACTCCAGTGGATGCTGCCTTGACACACAACAACCCCCCAAGCGGCCCATGTTTGCGTTGCTGGAATCCTGGTAAACTTGAATCGCGAAGTCCTGAACCCTGACCAGCCGTCCCAGCTGTGGTGGTCGTCGTGTTCGTTGCTGTCTTCTTCGTCATAGTAGCAGTCATAGCCTAAGCAAGCACCGGCACAGTTTTTGTTCTTCATCCCCTGCATTTCTCAGCGCCTTTGATGAATCTTTCTGAGGGCTTTGCATGATGCCAAAATCTATTGTACATCCCAGACAGTTGGAGCATGGTTTTAGGATGATCAGTGCTGGGATTTCTTTTCTTTACCTTAAGGGCATGAGGATAATGATGTTCCAACTTTCTGGCTTCTCATCCAGTACCTGGACCCCAAAAGCATGTAGAATAATGGCCCTTAAGGGTGTTGGGCCATTATTAAACCTACTTTTGGGGGTTTAGGTAGAAACTTCCAAAGACCGGAAGGCAACAGGGCAACGAAGCCTGCCAGGAGGCCAGACAGGGACCTTGTCGGAGGCCTCCAAAGGTGGGATGAAGGTAGGTAGGATTAAGGATCCCTTATATAAGTACTCTTATTTTGGGAATATCCCACCTACCTTCATCCCACCTTTTGAGGCCTCCGACCTTGGCCTTGACGGGCTTTCTTAGTAGCAGAGTTGGTAGCCTTTTAACCTGTTCAGGAGACTATAGTCCCTTTATACTCCCCTTTAGTTCCCTTGTTTTTGAAGCGGGGAGTACCAAAGTCAATATACAGCCTTTCGTGACCCTCTAGTTGTCCTAGGATACTGGGGCCGCAAGTTTAAGTATTTTGGCAACCCCAGAAGACAAAGAAGCCTTAATATCCCTAAACCCGAAGCCCTAGACTAAAGTGCTTTAAGAGAAATCCCGAATAGCAGGATACCAGCCAGAAGGACTAGCCAAAACAAGTTTGATAAATCTTCGTCTTGAGCTGCAGTTTTTTTCTAGATCCCGCACCCGATATCTCAAACCCAACCCCGAAGCACAAGCGTGAACCCGTCCGAGTTTTGAATTTTGTTGGGACATAAAGCTTAGGTGTATATGGTGTATAAGAGTTTGGCAAGTAGTGCCGGAGCTCGCACGAGGACGACTACGAATCATGGTAGACAACGACAAGATGGCCAAAATGAGATACCAGCGATGGCAGCTATAACTTCCAGATTAGAAACAATAAAGTCAGCAATGATAGGAAGTGTCGAAACTCTTGGGCATCCCTGCTCTTGAAACCCTTAAATCCTAAACCCCTGCAGCTCTAAACTCCAAACCTCTAAAACCCCAAGGCCTAAAGCCTTGAGAACAAAGGCCGAAAAGGCTTCCAAGAGCCAAAAGATCCCTCTAAAGCTGCAGACTCCGACGACCCATACCGAAAGCCAGGTAAAGGAAAGGCTGGAGGCTGGGTAGGGTCAATGATTCGGTGTTAAGGGCTTAGGGGTCGAAGGGTTTAGTAGGGTGGGGGTTTAGGGTTCAGGGGTTTAGGGTTTAGGGGTTTAGGGTTGAGGGGTTTTCCGTGCTGGTCCTTGCAAAGATTCGGGAGGGCGTTTGTTGACACAGGCTCTGTAAGTACAAAGTCCACGGCTTCCTTGCGGTCCCGGAATGCTTTCAATACTACGGAATAGTCCTGAAAGCATCAGTCGACTTAGGGTGTACAGCTTGACGAAGGGGTACGGGACGCCCTGGTGAGGCTGGGATTGATGTTGTTGTGATTTCGGGTTCAGGGTAGGTCTTTGTCGTGTCTATGTCCGGATTCCGAAACTGAGGGTTGCAGTTTGCGGAGTCGGGACGTGAAAATTTCTTTCAGGGCTTCGGGACATTTTACATTTTGCCTTATTGGGCTTAAGAGGAGCTCATTTACTAACATTTTTCAAAAGATTTAAATAAAGGCCCCACCTAGTAAATTCCAGGGCTTCTGAACATCCCTGCATCAGGCTTGTGAGCCGAAGAGGTCAAATTTCTTGGGCGTACTTGGAAATAATTTGTAATTTTTGGTTATTATAATCCCTAAGAAACAGCTAAAATTACAATTTTTGCTAGGGTTCTAAGTTCAGTGTAGAAATAAGATAGTGGCCTTTAATGAACAGAACGGGGCTCCTTTACGGCTTCCTTGAAAAGGGATACTATAAAAAATTACTGCGAAGGCTTAGTGTAGGGGCCTGAATAGTTAGAATAGTGTTCTGGTGAATATTTCTAGAGTTATACTTGGGAATGTTAAAGTAGTACTAATTGGTAATTATTTAGGGCTGTACAGTATTCCGGTGAAGCTTGCAAGCTAGGCCTGCTGTTGGGAGTTTCGGCTTCCAAGGCCAATTTAGAGTTCAGTGTTTTGAGGCTTCGAGGATTTAGAGTTTAAGGGTTTACGGTGTAGGGTTTATGGTTTAGGGTTTAGGGGTTTAGGGGGTTAGGGTTTGGCGGGCTGTGAGGTGTGGTGTGTGCACGCCTAGGTTCACTGAGCCGCCCAACCCCCCATCAAGGGGGGCTTGCTTGGGGACCGTGGCTTGGAATGGTACTGGCGGGTAAGCTTGATGTTGCCACCCTTTTACGGGCGCGGAATTCTTACGAGAGCTTGTAGGTCCCCTCACACAGTCAGAAGGATTCCGGCAACATTGGTCCCGGAGTCTTCTTGCGGGAGGGACCCTTAGGGAAAGTGGGAAGGTTGGGTCCAAAGAAGGACGACGAAGAGGCTTGCGGGAAGGCTGTGCCCTTACAGGAAAAGCCCCCTACAAACCTTTACGGGAAGGCCCCGTACCGGGAGGCTTCTTACGCGAGGGGCCTAAGCGGGAAAGCTTACGGGAAGGGTCTATTACTCGGGGGCTGTGGAAAGGCGCGAGACCCAGAGACTCCAATACCCCTTGATTAAGGAATATACCTTAAATTATAGTAGGGTCCCTAATGTGATTTAAGGTATATTCCTTAATTAAGGGTATTGGAGTCTCTGGGGAGTATTGGGTCGCTCTGCGCCATCGAGGTCGGGGGGCTTAAGCGCCACGCACCCACGGAGGTGGGCGGCCTGGACCTTGAGCTTAGGGTTCAGGGGTTTAGGGTTTAGGATAATGGTAACTTGTCAACACTCAGAAAGAAGTCTAAAGTCTAAACGAAATCCCGCGCAAATTCCAAGAAAGAGTCATGTGAGGCAAGTTTGGCGGAAAGTCCGGCATGAAAGGAGGCCGGCGGCTGTTTTGGAACTCTTTGCAAGGTCTTAGATTTCTAAGTGCCTGTCCTTCTTCAGAGTTGGGGGTTCATGGCTTGGGATTTAGGGGTATCGATTTAATAATTTAAGGTTTAGGTTTCGGGGCTTGATAAACCCTAAACCCTAAACCCTAAACCGCTTGATTGAGGGTTTAGGGTTGATAGGGTGTAAGGCTCCGAGCCCGAAGCCCCAATAGCGACTGTCCTACAGTTCTGGCCTTCTCGGAGGTTGAACGTTAGGGTTTAGGGTTTAGGGTTCAGTGCTGAATGCGTCGGGTTTTAGGTCCTGCTGGGTCAACCTATCAGGAATGTAGTTGAACGATGATGCAAAGAGGGGCGAGAAGATAAAACCGCCTCAGTATGCCACAGACCCAGGGCTATTTTGATATTATGTTACGTCTTCGGTGCTGTGAGATCTGTGAGCCTTCAATGCAGAGTTCACGGTAGTACATGTGCGGTTCAAGACATATAAACCCTAAACCCTAAACCCTAGGGGTTTGGGTTTAGGGTTTAGGGTTTCCGAAACCCAGAACCTTAATGCAGCAAAAACTGGAGACGACTGATTTGCCCTCGCAGGCGAAGACTTCGGAGAGGCAGTGGGGGGGGGGCTTCATCATTCAAAGGGGCAAAGGAGGGACCCTTAATGGGGACCCCTAGCCTATAATGGGCTATATAATGGGTATATAATAGCTATGTTAAGGGTATATACCTAGGGGTCCTTATTAAGGGTCCCTCCTTTTACCCTTGGATTCATGGCTTCAGACGTTAACAGGTTTGGTTGCTCTGGATATCGGGGGTCGAGAGTTTGGTGTCGGGGCTCTGAGCTTCGTTTTGAGCGCTCTCCATTTTGGATGTATGGGTTCAAACCCGGTGTTTTTAAAGCGATCTTTGCAAGGCTACTTTCGGAGCTCTATTTAAAGGAATTATGAACTCAGGTTGCGAGTTCAAGGCAATAATTACAGTGGTCACTTCCGGCTTTTAAAGTATGTCATTCAGACCCTTCCCAAAATTGTAGTCATTGTAGTCCACCTCGTTAGGCCACTATATTGGAGTGGATTCGGCCTGAAAGATGATGAAGCTTGAGCCTTCAGCAACTATCAGACTATCAGGCACAACAGCAGCCCTGTCCCTATCCAGTTGCAGTTGCAGCATAAGTTCAAGACGTGGGCTTGAAGGTGTGTTGAAGCGCTCCAAGCACGAAGAGCCACGAAGCCTACGCACGCCACAAACCCTGGGACAACGCCTTTGGAAGCCACCGTCATCCTCCTCCCGGCACCCTAAACCCAAGAATCGAAGCTCCCAATCCAAATCCGAGACCTTGCGCCCGACGCCCCGCAAACCCAAAGTCAAAGACCCAGGGCAATGAACTCCAAACCCGATGATCCCTTATGGAGGCCCTTAAACCCTAAACCCTAAACCTCTAAACCTGTTTCGTGTTGGGCTTTGGGTACAGTGATGCACTCCTCAAGGAGGAAGGTGCCAGGACCTGCAGCCGCGGAGAAAGGGGCCACTGCATCTTAAAAAAAAAAAAACTTCTAAACCTCTAAACCCCTAACCCCTAAACCCCTAACCCCTAAACCCCTAAACCCCTAAACCCTTAAACCCCTAACCCCTAAACCCCTAAACCCCTACACCCCTAAACCCTAAACCCCTAAGCCCTTAAAGGAAACCCTGAGCCCCCGCGAGGCCGCTGCACGACACTTCGAAGACCGCCGGGCGCAGAACCGCCAGGCCTTCTTAGATTCGGGGGCTTCAAAAGGTAGGATGAAGGTAGGTGGGATATTCCCAAATAAGAGTCCGTATATAAGGGATCCTTCATCCCACCTACCTTCATCCCACCTTGTGAGGCCTCCGATAGATTCACTGTCGGGTTTGAAGACTTAAAAATGGGAGTTTCCGATAATTGGGGGTACCTTCTTTTGGGGTCCTTATAATAAGGATGCTACTATAGTTACTATGTAGGGTACTATATTGGGGTCCCCCATTTTCGGGAAACTCCCAAATAGAGAGTTTCACAGGTCGTTCAGTAGAATGTTGTAAGGGTTCTGTAGGTAAGGTTTCGGAGGTACATCATGCTATGCTCATATTCTGGAACGCTGAGGAATCCCATTCGTGTATTGTTCCGAAACAGTTCTCGGATCGCGGTTCCACGCTTTCGGGCATGTGGTATTTCAGGGGGCTCAGAGCATCAGCATCCTGATTATCTTAACATTGCACGACTTCGAACAGTGAAAAAGTCTGAAATACTGCAATCGTACTCATACGGTAGTACACCGCCCGGGTAAAGTGCGCTTTGCAATGTCTCGAAACTCTCCAAACGCTTACATAGACTTTAAAAGTTTCTTACAGCCTTAAACTTACACCATGAAGCCCTGAACCTTTAATCCAAGGTAACAGGAGGGACCCTTAACAAGGACCCCTAGGTATATACCCTTAATCTGGCCATTAAGCCCATTATAGGGTAGGGGTCCCCATTAAGGGTCCCTCCTTTTCCCCTTTGATTTAAAGAAACTGTACAGTCAACCTTAAAAACCTGAGAGGACTTCGAGCTGCAGATGAAGATCCTACGGGAGGCACTGTGCAACTTGGGCTTGGGGCTGATCTGCAGGAGGTTTAGGGTTTAGGGTTTAGGGTTAGGGGTTTAGGGCTGATCTGCAGGAGTTCTTTGCTAAAGTGGGATGCACAGTTTCTGGTGTGGGTGAGGGGTTTAAGACGTGCTTGCCGTGGCATTGAAGGTACAAAGGCACGCGGACTTCTCGGGACAAAGTGACATAACTCTCGAGGCCTTGCACGCTTAACCCTCGCAAGAGTAAAAGCCAAAATCCTTAAAAGTGAAAAACCGGGCCTTCCATGGCCCCAACCGCGTGCGAGCACCGACATGATACCCCGGCAGCCTTAGAGACTATGAGCGTGGCATCGAAGCCACCGAAACTTGAAACCTGGACTGTCCAGATAGCATCAAAGCAAAACTCAAAGCTGCGGGAACAACAGCATAGCCTTCAAAGACCGCTAGCTACGGACATGCAACTTCCTTTCCCGTGAGTTTCCTTAAAAATCTCAGTGAAGGCTAAATGCCCATCGAAATGGGGATTCGGAACTGGACTTTTGGGGCTTAGGGTTTGGGCCCTTGTGCTGATGTCTTGATCTCCTCGTGCAGGCAGACGTGATTTGCACCACCACGATTGCTGCAGGCGGCTGCCCTTCCGGTTGCGAGATGGGAGGGTTGAGAGTGTCAGATAAGAAAGGACCACCAATTCCGACCCCTGAGTAGCGGCTTATGTGTAAGGGGCCCCAAAGGCAGATCTGGGCCCCCAAGTTGCATAGGGACCCATAGGGGCATCAAGGGGTGGTGGGGGACTATACTTAGACTTCCTTAAGTAGGTCTTACTATGGGTATTAAGGCCCCTACTCCCTTTAAGGGTCCTTTTGAAAGAAAATCCCAGGGCTCTGGGGAAACCCTAGGGCTGAAGGATCCACCAAGGCAAGGCTTCGAAAATTAGGGGGTACCTTACTTTGGGGTCCTTATATATAATCAGGGTCCTCCTATTTAGGGTACTATCTATATATATATATATACATATATATATATATATATATATATATATATATTCATTTATTTATTTATTTTAGAGTAGGGTCCCCTCTTTTCGGAGAGGATTTGGGCAGTGTGCAGGCTGATTTCAACCTTTCGGTGCAAGGCAAAGATATGCAAAGATGGCTTTCAGTGGAGTAAAATACAGCATACCACAATAAAAAAATATGAGAACACAATATGGCGGCGTTTGGCAGTTTTGGAGGCCAGCAAGATTGCTATACAATGGCAGCCAACACTTCTTTGGGAGGGATCGATAAGGCTAAGGATCGAGTTCTGACCGGTTGCACCAGCTCGAGAAGCCAACAGCAGATGCATCTCCTCCAAGCTCAGGGGGTTCAAGGCTTCAGGAATATGAATCCTCCCTCCACCCTGCGACCCGAAAGCCGTCAATCCTAGAATCCTAAATCCTCGAAAATCGTCAAACCTGACAGTGTCAAAGAGGCATGGACTTCTTGGCGCGTCTCTCCTCCTTTGAGGGCATCCTCGTCGATGAAGTCGCCCAGGCTTCTGGCAAGACGTGTGGGTCTCCGAACATTTTGAGGGTTGCAATTTACGGTTAACAACATTTGAGGATCCGACCATTTGGTGGTTGGAACGCTCGATTTGTGGGGTTTGAGGTTGCGAAGTTCGGAGGCAAGTGTTGCGGGGTTGGTTTAGGGCTGACGCAGCCGAAGACCCCGTAGCTCCCGAGCTGAACACCTAGGAAGCAACACTGTTGCACGTCACGAAACCGCAGGAGCGGACACAGCATCCCTACTACTTCTCGTTGCGATGGGTTCTGGGGATGAATAGATAGTGCATAACATGTCTGCGTGGATGGAAATCATAGCAAAGGAGCCTCAACAAAACAGGCTCTTTAGGCGGCAGGCAGGCCTAACACGTACATCTATTGCCTAAACCCCGACCCCTAGCCCTCAACCGTCTTCGCCCCCAGGCCACGGAGCTGTCCACCTCGGTGCCTGTGATCCTCCGCGGGGCTCGGAGCTTGGCGGAGTGGCTTCCGCAGGAGCTCCGGAAGGGCTTGAGGTCTGTTATGACGGTCTGGGGGATTGAAAATACTATGGACTGAGAATCCGTAAAGAACTATGGCAGCTTTGGTACAGTATACCCGCAACATTTCTTTTGCTGGGGCCGTCTATTTCCCGGTAAGGCATGAGGTCGTTCAGGAGAACCCTCCCTTCGAGCAACCCTCAGCGGGGTATACGGAGTCGGGGTCTTGCGTTACAGGCAACCCTAATGAAACTGGCAGCCCGAAGCTTGAGATCCTCTGACTCAAGACCCAAACTCCGCAGTTGAATCCTACCTGATGTCGAGAGGCTAATTTCCACTCTGCCTGCCGAGTTAGGAGTTTTGGGGTATATTACACTTTTGCTGCAATGAGGAACCCCCAATATAGCATAGGTAATATTATACAGGCCCCTATACTGCTGTAGGAGACTTGTCTGTAATGCACCGCCTTTCAGCGTCTGCATGAGTCTGGGCTGCTCTTTTCAAGACCTAGAGTCGCGAGTCCCGTCCAAGCCTGTCTGCCCTGTACCCTACATGTTGGATACTTAGACACCGCCTGCTGGGCAAACATGAAGGCAAGGGCTGGAAAGTTGGGCTTTGTACTTCCAGAGTTGGGGTCTCCAGGATTGTTTAAATGTGATGTGCCCAAGCCAGCGCAACGCTTTCACATTAGTAGATATCCACTTCGAGTTGAAAGCCCTGGAGGTTTCGACCTTACACGGCTTGCGCCATCCTTGCGCAAAATGAACACAGCTTGGAAATTCTGGACAAGCAAGTTCTTGTGTGATGTCACGGGGCTTTGGCATTCCCCAGTGGAGCAATCGGCAGGAATTCACTGCAGTTTCGGTTTTGGGCTTCGGGCTTTGGGTTCAGGGTCGTTTCGTTTCGTTACGGAATCCGCTGGTGCACGATCGGCTCATATGCCTTGTAGTTCCTGTATATTGTACTACATTGTACCCCGAACACTCTTGCCTCTCCCCCTACATCACGCAAGAGTGATTTGAGCTACCTTCGCGGCGCTTTCTGCTGATGCCCCGAGCTACCACCTTCTTCGCCCTAAACCCTGAACCCTGGCTAAAGTCCAACCTCCTACACCCAAATCCGATGACGACGTTCCAGAACGACATCGAAGCGGCTGTCGAAGTCGATTGCGGCGGCGGATGGGTCGTTATGTACCCGAAGCAGAAGCTTCAAATCGCAGGAAGCGCAGAATCTCTCAGCATCCGACTCCGAGAGGATTACACCATCATATCGCATGTCTATATCCATGCCGAAGCAGGGCTATTCAGCAGTGAGATGTGCACATCAGAGCTGGGTCCTTTCAACATCCAGGCCGAACGCTGGCTGGAACGGGAGAAGATGTCAGTCGCCTTGGCTGAAGCACAGACATTGCTCAGAAAGGTGCGCGACAAGACCGTGAGAACCCAGGACACTGGGAAGTCACTGAAGGTTTGCCACAGGCGTGTTATGATTTTCGGCGTGCTCTACCCAGACCCCCGGGAGGATCCAAAAAGTAGATCCCTTAATGGGGGTTCCTATAAAGTACCCTTGGTAGTATAGGGCCCAATATTAGGGGATCTACATGGTGTTGACACTTGGTCTTTCAGGGCTCACGATTTTGCACTTGAGCTGACCATGAAAGGATGGGTTGCTTTCTGTCAATGATAGTAACAATAATAATAATAGTAACAATAATAATAATAGTAATAATAATAATAATAGAAATAATGGACTCTCATGCCTGCGTATAAGCCTGTCGTGTACATCGCGAAAAGGTATGGTACAAGTGCAAGTCATGTACTCGTTTGGACAGGTTTCTTCTTTGTTCTCATTGCTCCCTATGTGCTCTTGATACATATCCTTTGCGAAGACGTACAATACGACTGGGAGTGTATGATGGCGGTGGTCGACATCACGGACTTCATCCCTCTTTGCATTATCCCCGTCGGTCTGACCATCCACAGGTTGGTCAGGAAGTTCCACAAAACGCTGGCGGTCCAATTGTATCCCGATTTGCTGGAACGACATGCTGCGCAACGTGCGCTCGAAAACAGCATCGTCTTTCACGGCCGAGTGCTTGAAGGCATAGGCAGGGGATGTGTGTGTTCATGGCCGGGGAAGTATGCATCAGCATGGGATGCAATGGTTCGAAGCAGCAAGAAGGGTGACACAAGCGCAGCTGTGGTCTTTTTGCCAGAGGGTAGCCAGCTTTTTGGCCTCCACGACTCAATCCCGGACGATGATGACCTGAAGGACTTGAGAGGTGGCTGGGTGCTTGTGGAGCAAGGTCTCAAAGTTTATTGGAATACAAGTACAAGCCCATGATACAACATCATTATTTCTTTTCCTTGTAGGCAGAGTGGGTGTTAACCTGAGTCTCTCAGGCGCTTGCTGGTGCGTTCCGCTGTATGGAGAGAGGAAGCCCTGGGGCTGCAAGTGGTGGACGAAGTGGATCGCCAATGTCGAGGAGGCCGTGAGGCAAGGCGCCAAACTCGAAGTTTATTTCTTCGCAAACTCCAAAGGAGAAGGCACCTGCGTACCGGTTTGGGACAATCTTTAATCTTCTCTGATTGTTGTGGTTTATATAGAGCTCCCACTATGAGAGATATCTTGGTACTCAAATCGACACACCTAGGCAAAGCACCGAGTTTCGGCACGTGCGGATCGGAGCACCTCCGGCGGGAGGCACTGTGGCGCCGAAGAGACACTTAGTACAGTAAGCAAGTTTCCGTCCATTTTCTCTGCCTTTTCAGCTCCTTTACTTCAGTGCACAAGCAAGGAAACGGAGGAGTTTCAGAGCTCTGCGCTCTACCAAGATGCCGTGAACTCAGGCCTGGAGGAGCTGTCCAAGGGGAAGCGGGAAGACAGTTCCTCACAGCACCCAGGCCGCTCCGTAAAGTGACCGCTCAGGTGTTGGTATAGTCTGTGTAGCATAGTCTTGTAAGAGGGAACGAAACTTGCTATGCTGTTTCTTCCTCAATCCGGAAACCTCCCACCCCTAAACCCTACACTTAAACTTAAAGGACCTCCGAGAACAGCCAAGGTACAGCCGAGAGAAGGACCGTCTTTTCCTCGACTGGCTCCCCCCACATGACAGACAGTTTCTTCGAGACTCTCAGGGTTTGGGAGAATCACAGAAAGCAGAGGTAGCATGGCTTGAGAGGAAAGGGTATCCATATGAAGCGGCAGATGTTAAGAAGTGGCTGTATATGTAGAGCTCTCGTTTGAGAGAGCCATTGCCAAAGGCACTTGGCTGTGGCGGCTGCTTCGCCCCTGCACAGTCGGTCTGGGTGAAGGGTTTAGCACGTAGGGTTCTGGTGCCGATGTTCAATTCAACGTCGGGGAGCAGGGCTTGCTTAAAATGTTTCGTGGGGAGGATTCCAAAGGAAACCTCAGCATCCCAGAAATCATCGTACAGGAATAGATGCTGCAGGCATTGATGCTCCTATCTTGCCTTCAAAAAGCAAGTGGAAGTTCTTCGAGGGGCTTCTTGCTAGAGGCATGACCAGATTCGCTGTAGCGTTTGGAGCTTAGTTTCAAACCTCACTTCTTCAACTACTGTCGGGATGGACGTGCCGAGTCCGAGTCATCTGTAGCAATAGCCGCGTGAATCGGAATGGGGGTGAAGAGCAAGAGCCACAATCACATAATCTGAGTCGTAAGCCGGAGGCATTCAAACATTCTCACATTGGGAAGCTCGCAACACATCATCATCCTACACCGTCAACCAACAACCGTCGTGGTTGTGGACCCTTTGAGACAGCACCGATACTATTTTGGTTTTTCCTTATCATAAACATATCATAATCGGCCCCAAGACCCTACTCTAATCATTAAGGCCCCTATGTTATAGATCCCTTTTACTGAGCCTTATAGACCCCGTCAAAAGAACCTTACGGCCCCTACAAAGATCCCACCCTTAAAGGAGCCCTGACAATACCCTCCAAAGGGAACCCTATTCTAATTATTCTCGATCTCCGAGGCCAATCGCTTAGTGCTCGTTGGAGACCACTGTCAGCTGCCGCGGCGGCCTTGGTGGATCATTTTCAGGCTCGAGAAAGTCTTTAAAAAAAGTAAATCAGGATCGAGGTGATTAAACCCTTCGTCTCAGCCGATTGTAGGGGGTTTTGGGGCTTAAGCACACGACTAAATGAGGCTTTGGGGCTCTTTTTTGACCCTCAGAGTTCGGCTTATCCAGGACTTAAGTTGCCTCAAAGCGCTAACTGCAACTACCAGTCCTCCTTCTATTGCTGCTACTACTACCACCTTTGCTGCCATTCAGCACTGTTTCTTCTACTGCTACTGCAACTGATGCGTCCGAGCCTGGACATTCCAAGCCGGCAGTATTTCTGAATCCAAATCAGCTCGATTCTTGACCTGCCAGTCTTCCTTACTCGGGCGGCTTCCTGCAGCCACTCAGATCCCGAGCCCTTCGCAAAGGAAATGCTTCATTTTACGGTAATCCAGAAAGGGCGGCTCCCACAACACAAGCTGCGGGAGCTTTTGCGGAAGCATGGAGTCGAGACTCCGCCAGCTGCATTGGACTTGGAGCTGCGAGCCAGCTGTCGCAAGCCTTGACTGTGAAACGCGAGCGGCAGCAACGCCTGGTGAACCTGTGAATGGCAGCGACACTTCCGCAAGCAGCAGCAGCAGCAGCACCGGCTCCGAGGGTGTCAAGTGAAGAAGCTGTGATTTTGGCTGGAGCGTTTGGCATGTCAAGGTTCCACGTTCCGTTAATAGTTGCCCAGGGCTTGCAGCCAACGATGCATGCTTTCCCAACCCCGAATTCACACAGTCCTGGGCTTTGGTTTAAGGTTTGTTCAAGGCATTGAGGGCTATATAACTGTTCAGCCTTATATAGTTTCCGCAACTGGATTGGCAAGTGTTGGAGTGAAGGTGTCAGCTGTGCTGGTTTGCCTAAACAACCTACACTGTAATCCCTAAATCCCGAGCCCTTAACCGGCCTTAACCCTAGCCCGGCCCTGCACACAGAGCCTTGAATCCTAAAGCCCTCGCCGTTTTAAACGCTTAAAGAACACGTGTACTAGAACCCTGCAAGAGTCTTATAGAGCTTGTAAAAAGCTCCATAGAACCCTTATATGTTATATGTTCATCAATATACATAAACATGTGTCCGCGAAAGTTCCGCTAAAGAACGTGGTATTTTCGTGAAGAAGGTCATTCGGGGATTCACGATCAACGCTCATGTGTAGAAACCACAACAAGGAACCCTGAGAAGGTAGGCTTTTTGGGCTGCAGGTTTAAATGAAGCCACACCCTTTTTGCCCGAAACAAAGTGTCTCCACACCTGAGGCCGGCGGTGATCTCACCCGAGGCAGAGGTGAGAGGGCTTTCTGTTTCCGTCCCTGGGCGGCAAAAGAAGGGCTTAGGGAGTTCCCTTCAAAGGCTTGCAACCCCTTTAGGGTTCCCTTTGACGGCTCCGCAGAGTGCGGGGGTTCACATTAAAAGTGATCGCTGTCCAGCGCCTGTCGCGACGGGTCATGCTTTCGCGTTTTACTGTAGGTTTTGCAAGACTGGCTGCGAGTTTTCGGTGGTTTCGGTGCAGAAGAAAGATCAGGGCATGTCTTGGGCACTCCCAAACCCTAAACCCCAGACCAGGTCTATTCTCGCCTCGTCCAGGCCGTTCTTTCAGATGCTGCTGTGCCGGGGTTTGGGGTTTAGGGTTTAGGGTGTTTTCGACCTTGTGAAGCGAAGTGAAGCGAAGTCTTTCTCTGCGTTCCGGAGGAATCCTGGGCTCATTTGTATGAAAACCCATAACCCGAGGGGTGTTCAAAAGCCGTCCTTAGAATTTGGGTCGGCGGGGCTCAGGGATTTAGAGTAAAGCGTTTAAGGGTCGGGGTTGGTGCCGGGATCATATGCAGTCTCAGGTCTTGCCATTCGATTCAGGGATCCCGACTAACAGTCTTTACAGGAATAATGTTGGGAATTATTCAGGCTTCTATATCACCTGTTTATGACCTCATTCACTGGTCTGACCTCAGAGTGTTGGGGTTGGGAGGTTCAGGGCTTTGATTTTATTGTTTCGAGATTGGCGCTTGTGAGTGGAAGGTCCATTCAGCCGAAAGGCCCCAGATTTGGGGTGTGCTTTGTCAAAGGTCACGCGAAACTTGTTGGCTGTAATTGGTCATTAAAAGAGCAAACTTGGTGGTCGGCAGATCTGTTGGTGGCTGACCATCGTCCGAAAGGCCTTGGACGTGAGGGACACTGTGCTTGACGTCGCCAAACATTAACCCACGTTAACGGTTAACGGCTTCGTTGCAAGAAGGGACAGGGAACACCATGGACTCCATGTGGAAACAAGTCAGTTCTGCGGCAATCTGCCTGTGTGCCGCTGGCAAACAGGGTGCACATGGCGAGCCCTAAATCCAGTTATAAGTCCATGCCCCGAAACTCTTCCTGCGCCCCCGGTGCCAGTCATGGTTCAGGGCTTCAGGATAGAGGATGGTGGTTTCAGGGTTTAGATTCTCAGGATTTGGGGTTTAGGGTTGTAGGGTCCTCCCCTATATAAAAACCCTTGAACTTCAACCCCACCTAATACAGGGGCCTAGATAATTGCCAACACTTCCTTATCATAGTTATGGTATAATGGGCCCCAAAGCCCTATTCTAATTATTAAGGCCCCTATATCATAGTACCCTTATAGATCCCTTATAGACCCCCTTTAAAGGAACCCTACTCCAATGATTAAGGCCCCTATATTAAACTCCCGTAGAACCCTAATAAGTTGACCCACGACAATCCCGCATGCAGGCGGGCGGTTTGCAGCCTTTCCTTCTGGACACGTCCTGCCTGCCACAGCTTTCATCGGGGGCAGCGGTGCGGTTTGAGGCTTAAGGTTGCGTTGACCTAGAATCGGAGTTCCTTCAGTTCCCTTTAAGGGATGTCGGAGCTTGTGTATATATGTTTCAGAAGGGAGGATGTGGGGCCTGCATTCGGGCATACCAGTATTATCCATGGTTTTGTTTGTTCCTATTCTGTTTCGGCGCGAGTGCTGTTCTGAACGTTGGCTGGGTTTTGTTTGTTGCGGCGTCAATTGCTACACTGGTGATTATGTCATCGAAGAGTATGTGTCAGTTGGTCTGCCTTTTTCTTTTGGTGCGTGTCCGTGCGAGTTTGTATTTCCAACTCCAACATGAGCTCCGAAACCCCAGTCCGTCCTGTTCATAAGCACCGGATTTGTTTATAAACAAACGTGCTCTTCCAGAATTCCATGCGCTTAAGGTTTGAGCTTGCAAGGCGGGGAGGGGGGGGCAAAAATGGCTGGAGAGTAAGGTAGGCTGCACTTCGCAAACCCTACATTAAAGTCCGCGATGGGCAGCGCCAGGCAATATCGATCTCATCACAAGCTTGCCGAGTTCTCCAGCAAGGTCCTGGCATGAAGGGGTTAGGCATCTTGGGAATTAAGGTTTAGGTTCTGTGGGTTTGTCACACCCTGTCACACTGGGCATGCTACAGGTACTAGCAAGCCCTCCAAGTAGGGCATTGAGAGTGCGATCACGGTCTCATGCAGGGTCTGAACAGTTTGTCGGAATATCCTTTTCTAGTACCGACCTATAGTGATCCCCAGAAAGTTGGAACATTGATTTAGGATAACTCTTGCTGGGATTCCCTATACTTTACTTTAGGGGCACGAGGATAATGATGTTCCAGCTTTTTGGCTTCTACTATATATTCTGATACTGTCAAGGACAAGTTATTCAGGTCTGTACATCAGCGCGGTTATGTTTGCAGCGAAAGCCCGAACCACCAGTGGGTGAAATATCCAAGCCTCAGTATAGGATTCTTGGTTGCGTGTTACTGCTATATGAACCCAAACCGCCTTTCAAGAGTTATATTATACAGGCCCTCATATTAGGGGTAAGGATTCTGACCTCAGGGCTTATTTTCAGGAGGGCGTATGGAAACCATAACTCAAAGCTTCTTCCATGAGCCCTTAGCATTCCTTCTGCCACACTATGTAGAGCCCTAAACCTCAATCGTCTACCCGCTTCCGATTACTGCTAGGGGGGAAAGCCCCCAACACCCTACCCTAGAAGCCCAGCCCTGGACGATCAGCCCCTTCCGCTAGGCTTTCTACGATGGCCTTCTCAAGAGTGGCATTGAGGAAGCACCGGAGCTGTGTCTTTCCTTGGCTGTTCTTTCGGAGGTTTTTGTGTGTGTGTTAAGGCTTAGCGCTTAGGGTCAAAAATGCAGTTCACGCATAAGGATGCCATGAGATCGGGCCTGTGCTTCAGGGCTTTGAGCAAGTATAGGGACCATAGTAGGGCTTTTGGTACTCGAAGTAGGAAGTCAGCTGCCTTGATCAATGATCTCGCCGCCACCCCTTAAAGCTAAGGCCGAAGCCGCTGGGTGAAAAGAGATCAGAGAAAAGCCTCTGACTCAAAAGCACGGCCTGGAGTCTAGGAGTCTAGGGTTAAGGTCATGGGTTTAGGATTGAAGTGTTAAGGTGTTAGACGGAGGTCTTTTGTGGTTGTTGGGGTGTTTACTTGTATGAAGTTTGTGCCGGGTTTGTGTCCGCGCTTCGAACCGTTGAAATAGACTCTTGTAGCTCCGAATGTGCGTAGCGTCCGGTATGTTAAAATATACCCGGAACTCCCCGAACCCTGGACATCTAGCTCCTAATCATAGATTTGATATGGTCTTATATGCGTCGTCAGCATTGCATTGGGTTTTACAGCTAATGTAAGCCTCTGATTTATGAAGCCCCCGTCGTGATGGGCCTCAATTTCCGGTTCTTATCCTTCTAGTGGAAGGGGGCTCATAAATCAGTGGTCTACACAAGCCTTCGACCTCAATATCGAAGCCGCACGCCCGGGCCCATGGGTATTTCGAGCAAGGATAGACGTGTCTTCATCGAAGCTTCGAGCTTACTTAGAATCAACTAGCAATGTGATGCTTGAAAGCCCGAATTCGCAACTCCAAATCCTAGAAGCCTAGAGCCCAACGATCAAACTCTTTGAACCTAAACCCCATATTGAGCACCGGAGTGTTCGTAATGTAGAAGCCGGAGGAAGTCGTGATGCTCTTCCGGAATATACCCCAAAACCCTGCTCTATTTACTAAACCCTAAACCCTAGTACCTAAGGCCCTGATAATCGATAGTAAGCCCACCACTTGGATAGTACCCTAAATAGTAGGATCCCTATTATAAGGAGCCCCACATAAGGTACCCCTATTTTCGGAAACTCCCACCTGTTGCGCAGGACGACAAGCGAACGGCCCCGCAGGGTGTGTCAGGAGCTTGATTGAGGTTCAGGTGCTCAGGGTTTAGGGTTTGAGGTTTCGGGTTTGGGGTTTAGGGTGTGGGGTTGGAGGGTTTGGGGTTTTATGGTTTAGGGTTTAGGGTTGTATGGTTGAGGGTTTAGGGTTTAGGGTTTTATGGTTGAGGGTTTAGGGTTTCGTGTTTTGGGTTTAGGGTTTTATGGTTGAGAGTTTAGGGTTCTCAACCTCAAATGTGGTTCGGGGTCAAGCGGCTTCGGTTGCTGAAAGAATCACAAAGTCTTGAAAACCCTCGAGCCATATCAAATACCCCTAAGTGTTGTATCTTCAAAGCGGGAGCTACAAGGAATGTATGGGGCGAGGAACAGGGCGTGCAACAATCATGCCTCCGGAGAGCAAGAGCAGAAGAGAGGATACCTTCCAGGGCTTTCGATGCCTGTCCACAACCTGCAACAACCCAGCATGCAAGGCTGAAACTTGTTGGGTTTTCTGGTGGCTGTATTGGGGTATGATCTCAATATACATACATGCGTGTTTGGACGATCCTCTTCTCGCATCACAACTCCAACGCCCTTATGAAGCCCTCTCAACCACCTTCGAAAGCCAGAAAACAAAGAAACTCAAATGCACGGTCGCCCGCCCTTGATACTTGAAATGAGGGTTTGGGGAAAACGCTGTATAATAACATTCATATGTGTTTTCAAGGCACCCTTAGGCCTAAGAACTCATGGCCCCCTCTGTCAAACCCGAGGCCTTGGCCCAATTCAAAGTGCCCGATCGCGTTCGTCAATGTGGATGCCCAGGCAGTTGAAAAGCGGATATGGGAGTTTCCGAACATAGGGGACCTAATAAAGTACCTAAATAGTAGGATCCTGTTTCCCATGTGGGTTCTTCAGGGTTTGTCGTGTCGGATGCCCAGGTTTGCGTCTAAGTTTCTGGGTACCAAACCAAAGCCCTTAAGCCGAAGCTACCCGAACCTCTTACTCCTAAACCCACCAGGCTCGGATACCGTTTCGACCCTAAACGGCCAAAGCTCTACCACACCTTCTAAACCCAAATGCCGCATGCCGGAATACTCTACACTGAGCATAGGCGTTCTGCCAAAAGCTTGGTCAAGGCGACACTGCAAGCAAAAACATGTATCAACAAGAAGCAAGTTCATTGCAGCCCTGCACCCCAACAAGCATCAAGCACAGACAGACTGACAGACTGACAAAGGCCGAGACGTAAACACAGGTATCGTGCAGACAGCGAGGCGGGAGGAAGACAAAGGACCACAAATACTCAGCAACTCTTAACCCTGAAGCTTGTAAGACGAAAGTCTCCCGACAAAGCCCTTCATTCCGGATTCTCACACCTCAACCCTAAACCCTGAGGCTCTCCCCCTAAATCCCAAAGCCTGGATGCAGAGGAACGTCAAAACTCCGTGCCTGTCACAGGAAGAGCTGGAAGGAGACTCCAAGGCGCGACCTACTTTGTCCTGGGTGTCTCCTCAGGTTTAGGGTTAGGGGTTTAGGGTTTAGGGTACCATTTTGGGGTGTGGGAGTTGGGCTTATTGAAAATTACCCAACGGTGTAGGGGTTTAGGGTTTAGGGTGGTGTAGGGGTTTAGGGTTTAGGGTACCATTTTGGGGTGTGGGAGTTGCGGGTTTACGGATTTTCGTTCGTGTTATCTAAGCCGTCTAACCCCCAGGGCATGTTGAAACTTAGATTTTTGAACGGGTCTCAGGAGCTTACAGTGTCTTGACTTGGCCTTCTAGGTAGCCTTCCTGTTTTTTACTGAGAGTCCCCTTTACTGCTGTTTTTTTGAATATTCCCCGTAATCAAAATATAGGACCAGCCCTGAAACTTTTCGTTGGGAAAGTAGCAGCTGTGAGCTCTTGGATCCAATATCTCTTACGGTTTAGAAGGCTTAGATTAGGCCTACAAGGTGTGGGGTGACACATGCTACACTCTGGAGCGTACACGGTGGGGGGGGGGGGGGGGTCCGATGCATCGAGAGAAAATTAATCTGCAGATTGGGAACTTCTCCCCCGAACCCTAATCCGACCTAGACCTGACGTGAGGCCAACACGGTGGAAGCCCAGATGGTGGCCAGCTTGGTTGGTAAGGCCTGTAGACCGTACATCCTAAGACACTTCAGTGTGTGTTGCGTTGTGTACGGCGCAGTGGAAGCCAGGTTTCAGCAAAAGTCCGCCGTCTCCTCGACGGTTTGCACCGGACCGAAACCCACACCTAAATCCGGAGGGCGAAATTCGCAAGGGCCGTAAGGCTAAGGTTTTCAAGCCTCTAGTAGGGCTTAAGCGCTTTAGAGTTTGTCGAGTTTGAGACGTTATCGGGTTTTCAGGCTTTGCAAACCGCACACCCGAAATTCTAGGAGTTGCGGAGTTGCATCCCCTGCAGGTCCTCGGATATGGCGAGCTCTCGGTGAGCCAGGCGGGGCCTTGGGGGGCAGTCTGGCGATACTGGTATTCAGACCATGTTGGGCTACTGTCGTCTCTAGAAAGTCCCCAAGATTAACCTTGTGACGTTCTAGGAAAACAGACAAGCAAGATGTTCTTGTGACTTGCGTAGCTCCATGTGGTGTTGTCGGGAGACACAAATCCTGAAACCTAATTCAGTACGCATCCGATTTCGGCATGCTGATGCAATGTCGCAAACTAACCAATATAGGGGCCTTAAGAGTTACCTATGCTATTTGGGAGTTCCTTATTATGAACACGGCATATAATGGGCCCCGTATTTTTATTACAATACTGTTGATGATATAAATCCTGCATGACCTTAAAGACCCTAAACTATGGGAATCATGGTATTTTCCTTATTATGGGTAATGCAGGATTTATAACATCAACCGTAGTTTGAGGGGTTCCTTATTATAACCATGGTATAATGGGACCCAAAGCCCGATTCGAAACATGGAGGCCCCGATATTACAGGGCTGCCGTACCACTGGCAAGGCTCCCTCAGACTCCTTCTCACCTGAACTCGGGGCCCGGCCCCGTGTCAAAGAGATCTGCTCGGAGCCTCAGAGCCTTAAAAAAAGGGGCCGAAGTAATTGCCAATAGTATTTTGGGGGCTCCTTATTAAAAGTTGTTATTAAATAGTTTCTTCTTATTATTATTCCCGAAAGCGTCGCGAAGGGTTCTTCCGTGCGGAGCCGGGTAGACAAGTACATAGATGACAAACATAGAATCGAGCACATGACGTTATGACTTGACACTTGAGTCTACGACTCTATGACCCTATGACTCTATGACTCTAAGACCGAACTTGACTACTCTTGACTACTCTATGACTCTATGACTCTATGAACTTGAGAACTCTGTGACTTACTCACTTGACTACTCTATGACTCTGTGACTTACTCTGTGACTTACTCTGTGACTTACTCTTGACTTACTCTGTGACATACTCTGTGACTTACTCTCTGACTTACTCTCTGACTTACTTACTCTCTGACTTACTCTCTGACTTACTCTCTACCTCTCTACATACTCTCTACATCTCGTGACTTACTCTTGACTTACTCTGTGATTTACTCTGTGACTTACTCTCTGACTTACTCTCTGACTTACTCTCTGACTTACTCTCTGACTTACTCTCGACCTCTCTACATACTCTCTACATCTCGGTATCTAAATCTCTCTTCTAAAGCCAGGGGTGGCACCGTCGTCGTCCATCGGGAATGCAACCCTTCCCAGGGATTCGCCTCCTCGGGCGCCCAAACGCGAGGTAAAGTTACACATTTTAGGGTTCCCGCGCAACCCTTCCCAGGGATTCGCCTCCTCGAGCGCCCAAACGCTAGGTAAAGTTACACATTTTTATGTGCGCTTCGCACCCTTCACAGGGATTCGCCTCCTCGAGCGCCCAAACGCGAGGTAGAGTTACACATTTTAGGCGCCCGGCGCAACCCTTCACAGGGATTGGAACTCTCGAGCGCCCAAACGCTAGGTAAAGTTACACATTTTAGGGTTCCCGCGCAACCCTTCCCAGGGATTCGCTTCCTCGGGCGTTCAAACGCGAGGTAAAGTTACACATTTTAGGCGCGCCGCGCAACCCTACACAGGGATTCGCCTCCTCGTGTGTTCAAACGCGAGGTAAAGTTATACATTTTGCGGGCGCCGCGCAACCTTTCACAGGGTTTAGGCGCAGCTCAATTGCATTTTGCAACCCTTCACAGGGATTGGCATTTTGCAACCCTTCACAGGGATTGGCATGGTCGAATGCACGAACGCTAGGTAAAGTTGCATTTTTTTATGTGCATTGAGATGAATTTTGCAACCCTTCACAGGGATTGGCGTGGTCGAGTGTTCGAACGCGAGGTAAAGTTGCAATTTTTTATGTGCATTGAGATGAATTTTGCAACCTTTCACAGGGATTGGCGTGGTCGAGTGTTCGAACGCGAGGCAAAGTTGCAATTTTTGATGTGCATTGAAATGAATTTTGCAACCCTTCACAGGGATTGGCGTGGTCGAGTGTTCGAACGCGAGGTAAAGTTGCAATTTTTGATGTGCATTGAAATGAATTTTGCAACCCTTCACACAGATTGGCGTTGTCGAGTGTTGGAACGCGAGGTAAAGTTATTACTTTTGATGTGCATTGAAGTGAAACTTGCAACCCTTCACAGAGATTGGCGTTGTCGAGTGTTCGAACTAGTACTAGTACTACTACTACCACTACCACTACTACAACTATTATTACTACTACTACTGCTACTACTACCACTACTACAAAAGAATACTACTACTACTACTACTACTACTACTACTACTACTACTACTACTACTACTACTACTACTACGTACCACAACAACAACTACAACTACTACTACTACTGCTACTACGACTACGACTGCGACTACGCGACGACGACTACTACTACAACTACTACGACTACCACTACTATCACTACTACTAGTACTGGTACTGCTAGTACTACTACTACTACTACTACTACTACTACTACTACTACTACTACTACTACTTCTACTACTACTACTACTACTGCTACATAAAGTGACCATGCATAGAGTCATAGAGTCACGTTGAAACCACAGTAATCAGGGATGTCTATACACTGAGGTTCCGGAGCTAGGAAAGGAAGACTTTCTGCGTCATGTTGGACTATGCCCTAAACCCGCTAAACCTGAACATTAGTGTTCATAGAGTGAACTACATCAAGTCAAGTGCGTGGTACATAGATGACTCCATGACTCTATGACTCTTTCTCACTCTGACGCTGTGACTCTATAACACTATGACTCTATGATTCTGTCTCACTGTGACTCTATGACTCTATATGACTCTATGACTCTTTGAACTATGACTTGTGCTTGACATGTACTCGACTCTATTTCTCGATGACTCTATGAACTATGACTTGTACGACTCTTGACTGTATGTGACATTCCGACTCTGTGACTCCGTGCTTTTGACTCGGTGACTCTATGACCCTATACACTGGATTCTATGACGTAGCGCAACACTCTTCGCTGATGATGCTTTCGGGCCAATTGTCTTCTAGTTTTAGTTTGATGGGCTCCAAAACACTTTTCTAATTATTGAGGCCCCCAAAATAGTAGTCCAAGATCATTCCTTGCTTGGCAGCGTCAATACTGTCCCTCAGGTGGGTGTGGTGACCCCCTATGTGGCGCAGGCTGGGGCGCATTGGAGATCACTTCGCCCAAACCACCACAGTTTCGATGTTCATGGGTTTGGAGCACATGACGGTTCCCGAAGGTCCGGAGACTGCGCCAATTTCTGCGGCCGGTGCCGGCCTCGGACAGTATCCTTGATGGGCATCTTCAGCATTCAAGGTTTGCTAGAAGGGTTTGACAAGGGTTCTTGCTTCCCTTCCCAGGCCCTTCCCCTCCTATTCCTCCGCAAGCTGCAAGGTGCTTCCACCGGGGGCTGATCCACGTCTGCTGGAGCCAGCTGACTGAGTTGTTGTCTTCTCATGGCATGTTGGGCCGGCAGGGATTCTCGTGCTCAGGTTTAGGCTTCGAGGGCGTTCGGTTGGGAACTTCGAGTTCCAGGTCTTCGGAGCCAGGGTCAGTTGCTTCAGACAGTAGAAGAGGTTCCGGACTAAAAAAAAAAACACCCTGAGAAAGGGCCACTGTGGGTTCCTTGGTACAAGACCCCCCCCCCCAACACGAGGCAGCCTTTGAAGAGCCTCGGATCAGCTCAAGGGTTTCCCAGTAGGTTCAGGCTGAATGAATGCTGGGGGCTGGCTTCGGATTTCGGGTTTACGGTTTAGGTCTTCAGGTAGGTTTAGGGGTCCAGGGCTTTTAGGTGTTAATGTTTAGGAGCGAAGGTTTTAGAGCGTCGGGTTTAGTGTTTAGGGTTGAGGATAGTGTGATTGTCGTTATCCGTCTATTACTATTTGTCTGCTGCGGTGGCATGATTTCGAGCATGAGTCTGATCAGACGAGGAGGGGTCTGATTACCTAGGACTTAGAGTAGGCCCTTATTCCCTTGTTTTAGGGTTGAGGTTCCCTTATAAGCCCCTTTAAACCAAAAAGGGCACCCTTTTATTCCTAGGTTACTCTTGGGTCTAGTTACAATGCTTGAAACGCAGGCTAGCGTTGGCTGAGTTCCGGTTTAGGAGTTTAGGGTACCCGCCCTAAACTCTTAATTAGTGGCAATGGCATCGTCACTGGCATGTATTATCAGTAAAAGCCAGAATCCCCGGAAGCCCTCAACCCGAACGGAAGCCTTGTGATGAACTCGAACTCCCAACCCGAAACCTGGGTGTCCCCGTGACCTCATGCCAGCCTCGATACCACCCCGCGGGACCTTGAGGAGATCTCACGCAACCGTACTGAACTATCTGGGTGCGCCCATAGAGGCCAGGATGCCCAGTAGTACCCTCATTCTCTTTTTGTAGTCCTAGGTTCCTTATAAAGTTACCCAATACCAAAAAGAGAGGCCTTTTTATTCTTGGGTTACTGGGTATCCTAGGAGGCGTTTCCCTCACACCTCAACCTACCTAAGCCGTCATGCTGAACCCTCAACGGCGCATCCCCCACCCCACCCTGCCAATCCAACAAGCCAAGCCCTATACCTTAAACCCAGGCACCCCATAAGCCTTGAACCCTGACGCCTTTACGAAACCGTAGCACACCGCAGCATTTCCTGACCCCCGAAGCACATAAATCCAAGGCCTATGCGATAAGCCCCAAACTAAGCAATCCTTCTGGAGCCCTCGGAGGTACCCTTAAACGAAGCCCTTGTAGTCTTCAGTCAACTAACCCTTGCTGGTTTCTGCCCCTATGCAAGCAATGGTCCATCTTGGACCAGAGCCGCGCAATCAGCAGTTTGGGCTTCGGACAGACCCGGTTCGGCGTCAAGTCAACATACAACGAGAACATGTATAGTCATGCACATCACGCTCGCGCTAATGCTGAGCGATTATCGGCTGCAGCATGCGGCCAGTTTCTGTGACTGCACAGGTTACTGCTCTGGCAGCCTCGCGGACTCTGCCATAGGTCGCAAGGCGTTGCTTGGGGTGCGCGGGGATTGGCAAGCGCCAGTCTGCCCTCTGCTTCAACTTTGCAATCCGTGCAACGGCCCCAGCTGAAAGGCATGGAGACCCGAGTGAAGAGTCCGTCAAAGCAGTACGGCATGGAGGAGACGTTCCCCGCGACAGAAGCTTTGCCTGGAATCCGGCTGCGAAGTGCTGGGGCAAGCAGAGATGCAAATCTTGGGGTTATATAAGTATTATGTAACCTTAGTACAGCAACACTTGTAGAACCCATTCAGAGCCGTCTTCGGACCCAAAAGCCTCATACACCCTAAGCCTTCACCGACTCCGCAACTCGAGGTGTGCGTCGGTTGATAACTTCCAGGGCCGCGAGAAGGAGATTCGGGCGGTGAAGCAGAGAGTTTCGAGCACCAAAGGGTCTTGCGAAGGGTCTAGGAGGGTTTTGTTGATAAGGAGGTCTTCATGGAGCCAGTTTACGGGTCCAAAAAGGGCTTGGCAAGGGCTGCGTCATGGCTCAAACAATATATGTCAAATAGTGGAGGGTTCTTAAGAAGGGGGGACGTGCTGGGCTCTCTGGAAAGAGGGCTTTGCACTAAGTCTTTGGGGTGAGCTTGGGATTTGGCGATATCGGGTTTACGACGGAGTTCAGGGTTTACGGTCCAAGGGCTTTGTGGGCTTGGATAAGTAAGAGCTGGTGGACTATTACATATCGACCCAGGCCCAGACTTCTATCATAGTCCTGCCGTGGCACGTTCGACCGAAACCCCAAGCCAGGTTTGAGGTTTTGCCTCTGCCCATGATGCACCCGTGAAATGGCTATGCCCCCACACCCTACGCGGTGACCTTAAACTCCAAAGCCCTAGCCCTACCTCCCGAGAGCTGCTGTGCCTACGGTGGCTCTTGGAGGCCTTGCCGTCCCCGGAGAGGTCGCTCACGTCGGAGCTATTTCGCGCCCGGAGCAGCGACGGGTTCTCGCAAAGGCTTGGACGGAGGAGCTATGCGAAGGGAAAGCCCATCCATGTTCTTGGTTGTGATCAGGCTACTCCGGTCCGCCTGTCAACCGTGGATGCCGGCGACATTGACAGCACTCGCGCTTCACTAGCTGTCACAGGGCAACTTTCTGTATGTGGGGTGCCTCCCAGCCCAGGATGCTGGCGTCTCAGCAGTCATACAGGAGCAGAGACGACATTGGAGCGCCTGGAGATGGACGTGCGGCGATGCAACACATGGTGGCGATCCGGAGCTTGCAGTGTTGGCGCCGGGGATAGCAGTGTGGAACTGTTAGCTCCTGGCCGCAGCCACTTCAGAGCCGTCAATCCTGCAGTAGAGGCCGCTGCCACTCCGCCAGAACCATTACCAACACATCAACCAGCTGATCTAAGGCCCAGCAGACGGGTCTCCAAGCATGACTAGACCACTCAAACCAAAAGGATTTGGCCACGAGGCTCGTACACGGACAGCTGGACCATGTGCGCCAGCAGGCGCAGCTTTCTGATCAACCCGGCTGAGTCGGTGCAAGCGGACGCTCCATGCGGCCGTGACAGAGCACGGCCGGGGCACGGCCCTGAAAATTTTGTTGTTGAGGCTACGGTCTTAGGGTTGCGGGCTTCGGAGACTAGGAGCAAAGCTGGAAACAGTTCCCCTAAGGATCTCCGTACCCTGAAGCTCGGAGACCAACTGCCAGAATCTTGGTTCTTGATGCTTTACCTCCAAGCCTTTTTTAACTTGAAAGCTGAAACCTCAGAACCTGAACCTATGCCTAAACCTCAAACCCTGAACGGAAGCCCAAAGAGGAGCTAATCGTTTTCTCGGCCGTCCGCAGCAACCGAGCCGGCTCGCTCCTAAAGACGTGGCGCCTTATGGCGAGGGTTGAGGATGCTGGGAGTTTGGGGCTTTGGTTAGTGGGGAATGGAGGAATGGGGCACAATTATAACTACTGTTCCTACAATTCTTTCATTCCCTACTAGCCAAAGGTAAGATCTTGGGGCTTTGGTTCCAGGGTTTAGGGTTTTCTAGCCGAGGGGTTTTAGGATGTTGGATTTGGGGATGGTCCAGGGTTTATGACTGTGTGGTCCGGGGCTTCGGGTTCGGGTTTTGGGGTTCAGCATTGAAGGATTTATCGCGTACTGTTGAGGTGGGAAGGCAGATGGATGGAAGGAGGCCATCAGCGGAAGGAGGCAGGTACAGGGGCGGCATTATCTCAGGAAGGCTGTTGCAAGATGTTCAAAGAAACTTGACTAAAAGAGAAGACGAGCTGCCGTCGCCCATTATGTTCGAAATCCGGGATTCAGGCTAGAGTCTATGGGTGGCCGGGGTCTAGAGCCGAATACCGAGGCATTCCTCGAGACGTGGGGGCTCACTTATTCCCCGAGCCCTAGAGTTTGCCGGCCTGCTTGTAGGATTTACAATCACTGCCCCTCTATGACCTCACATTCAAGTCCGTGTGAAACTGGCTATAAACTCCGCCAGCGTCTGAGACCCTCGCTATAAGCCATTATCAACCCCCCGACGTTCCATCAAAAGACTTTTTTGTGAGCCCTTACCCAACATTAAGGCCTCAGGGGTTGAGATGTTGGGCTTTCCACTCGGCAGCAGCTTTGGTCCTGAAAACTTCAGCAGGTGGCCTCAAAGGCAACGTGTCAGAATGCTAGGTCAGGAAATTCCCCTTATAGGACCAGTTGTGTTTGTATTATAATATGTCCGAAATCCTTTTAAAATCATTGAGGCCCTTGTGGTGAATCCTCTCAACCCCTGTTCTGAATAATTGGCCTTCCCAGTATGCTGCAATGAGTCATGCGAGGTGCAGAGATCCTGAGCTCCGAGTTTCGGTTTGTAAGTTTTGGGTGCAAGGGTTTATATATAGTATTAATATTAGTATTAGTATTAATATTAGTATAATATTAGTATAATATTAGTATAATATTAGTATAGTATTAGTATAATATTAGTATTAGACTCTCAGAGTTTCTGGTGCGGGCCTGGGGTTTGGCATTCTGATGCGGGCTTTCAGTCGAGTCTAGAGCAAGTGCTCTTTGGGTGGTCGTGGGCTAAAACGAAAAGCCCTAGCATGCTATCAGATCGTGACAAACACTCAACCCCTCAGGATGATTCCGGGAAACTTGCTGTCAGAAGCATCTTTGGTCTTCCTCGTTCTGCGATGTTTCAGAGCATGAGTACTAACTAGCCTTGTCACTGTTACTTCACGGTATCCCAAACCGCCGTATTGGCTCTGATCCTGCACCCCACATGTTTAGATTCTAGTTTCCTGGGCTTCCCGCCCCAAACCCCAAACCTCTAAGCCCCAAACCCTAAACCCTAAACCTCTAAACCCTAAACCCTCTTCCTGTTCAGAGTCGAGGTAACGTCGGCTTCTTGGCCGACTGGAGACGCCTGAATGCCCAATCCCCAGCTAACTTACCTTTGGTTAGTAGGGAACGGAGGAATGGGGTACAATTATGACTACTATTACTACCATTCTTACATTCCCCACAAACCAAAGGCAAGGCAAAGGGCTAGCCGGGCTTTGGGGTTCAGCGGTTTTTCTCCGAAGAGACCGGAGACCCTCCCAGACTTAAGCTTCTGTGTCTCATGTCCAGAGGGGAGAGGGGCTGCTTCGGCCTTTGCTGTAGGATGGTCGGATGTCGAGGCTCACTGAGGCTTCATGGTTCAGGGACTGATGTTTGCATTTAGGCTTCAGGCTTCAGGTTTCAGGGTTTAGGGTTCAGGGTTTAGGGTTAGCGCAGTCAAATATGCAGGACGGAGAGAGGGAGGAGCCCCGACCCCGACCTCCCGAGTCCTGCAAGGCGCTAGAGGACGAAGCTTCAAACCCACACAGAAGGCTAAACCAAACCCCGCAGAAATATAACTTAAACATCTGAGGTTTGGCTTGAGAAAAAACCGCTGAGTTAGGTGCAAGCCTCGGAAGAGAAGTTTCAGTGCCAAAAAGTCAGGCGGTAAGAGATGCATGCCCCGCAAAACTCCTAAATACTTGAATCGTAAGGAACACTATCCTGCAGGTCATGCTCACCCGAGCACGGCGCGGCTTGCTAATCTTCGGGAACTCTGCAACACTGAAGCAGGCTCGACGATTTTTGCGAGAGTTAAAGCTCAGGTTGTAGCTTATAGGGTGCAAGGTTTGGGTGTTAGGGTTAAACACAGTGAGGCCACAGGGCCGGCATACAAAGTTCCGAATCCTAACCGGGAATCTCGAAACTTAGAGAGTGAAATTTTGGGGGCTTGAGGGCTTCAGCTTTAGGGTTGCCGGGCTGGGTGTGAAGCAGGGTTCAGGGTTTAGGGTTTAGGGTTCAGGGTTTAGGGTTCAGGGTTTAGGGTCTAGGGTTCAGGGTTTAGGGTTTAAGGTTTAGGAAACTGTAAGCCCTTAACTGCAAGGGCACGCTGAACGGCTGTAGTCACTATAGTCTGTCGATACTGCGGGCCTCAACTACCGTACTCAGCAACCTACAGTGGGTGGTTCTCTAAATTAGGCTGTCCTTTTTGGAAGGGTGCCGTAGTGTTCTGGGAACCTAAAAGGGACACCAAAATTGAGAACTACCCAAGTACCGGGGCATTACACTGCCAGGGAGTAAGGTTTCGGGAGATCCCCCCCCCGTCTTCGCGAAAAATCCTATCTCTTTGGCCCCAATTTTCGGGGCTCAGGATGCAGGGTAATGTAGGGTTTAGGGTTTTGAGGTTTAGGGACCAGTGGCTCCAAAATTAACTTGATACTGCGGGGATGTGAAGGACCCAATCTGGGAGAAGTGGCTGGCCTTCGCCGAAGAGCACGATTGCATGGCGTGGGACCCGAATGCATGCGGCTGCAAGCTCTTTTCGGGCTACACATGGCATTTCAGGGGTCACTACCCCCGCTCACGGGAGTGGGGGCTGCGCGTGTGAACCTGAACCTATTCGGGTTTGGATTTTGGAGTCTGCGCTTCGCTTAGTTCGAACAACCCCAAGGAAAGCTTTAGGGCTTCGCACTTTAGAATCCCTCAGCAACTTTGACAGAAATTGCAAGAACGAGAAAGAAAAAGCAAGAAGAGAAGAAAGAAGTATCCTGATATTGTGCGTGAGCATGTTTGCTGGACTCGATGCGAAGCCCTCAACCCGAAACCAAAATTATCATGCTTCCACTGCTATGGATGCAGCCCTCGGTCTTCTCGGAATAGGAAGCTGCAGGTAAGGTCGAGAAGCCAGACGCCCGGGGCAGGTTTCCCTAAACATCAAGCTGGATCCCCTGTTTCGTGAGGCATGGCCCGTGGTTTGGGAGCCGTTCTATCTTGTATTACTGGCATGATGCAAGCATTGCAAGGTTGAGGTCACGTTGCGGATTAGTTTTTATGGTATAAGATTCGAAGTAAAAACTTGGAGTTTACAGATTCCGTTGAAGAACATTCTGGCTCCTAGGACCGCAGATGGTTTAAACTGCGGTTCAGTCTCAGTCATTTGTTATGATGCAGAGGAAAACTGGCCCAATAATCCTATGCCAATCATTCAGGCCCCTAGATGAGCTGTGCCTGGCGCATTGAGGTCAAAGACCTCCCGATGCCTTCACCGCCACAGTTTGCGGGCAAGGGCGTGCCGTTTGCATCGGCGCTTCTTGGCTGAACAGACTACTGCCATTCTGTATTATTACTACTAACTACTAACAACTACTGCTTCTAGTAACTACTACTACTACTACTACTACTACTACTACTACTACTACTACTACTACTACTACTACTACTACTACTACTACTACTACTACTACTACTACTACTACTACTACTACTACTACTACTACTACTACTACTACTACTACTACTACTACTACTACTACTACTACTACTGCTGCTGCTGCTGCTGCTGCTGCTGCTGCTGCTGCTGCTGCTGCTGCTACTACTACTACTACTACTACTACTACTACTGCTATGACTATTACTGATTGCTGCTAGATTTCCATCGTGCTCTGGCTCCTCGCACTAGTGTGAGAATTGCCTACAAATCTTTCGACTATGCATGTGTTGCAAATGCTCAGCCCCGAAAGCAAAAATCTGGAACCCTGACTAAAAAAGAACCTTCAACCTTGAATCCCAGCGCAGCAGGTTCCTGCCCGGCAAGGGGGGCAAGGCCGGGACGTTGCAAAACAAATAAGCTTGGATACGAGATACCGCGTCCTTCTTCTGATGGGAGATTTGCTCCTTTGGCGACCCAAATCTCTAGAACCACAGATGAGCAGGGATGCGAAATCTGACTTTGGCTACTTTCGTTGATTTTACACTTGTTGTAGATGCTGAAGTTGGTTGT